TTTTAACATTCCTTCTTTCCATTACAATGTTCTAAAAAAATCTGTTGCTTGGAAGATAAGTACGACTACTTTCTTTCGATGATTTCTTTCTTTTTTTTTAAAACACCATTATATTTTTTGAACACTTCATACTTTATATAAAAAGTACCTGTAATTATATTTACGACAAGTTTCATTGGTTTCATATGGTTTCAATTTGGACTCATTTCAATTCAATTGAATTACTTTCAAAGCATGTTTGTGGTGTTTATGTTCCAAAAGGATTCTCAAACGCCTTCATAACTTCATATTTTTTGATCCTTTAACTCTTTTTTATTTTAGGTAAAAAAGCGAACAGAAAGTCTTCTGCAGTTCGGCTCGGCACTAAACTAAAAACCGAATCGATATACAGGAAGATCTGTAAGTATAATTCGATTCTGTCGATTTAATCGACTACCAATCGATTTAATCGACTACCAATTCATTTAATCGACTACCAATACCATGCTGTAAATATATAGAAATACTCTATATGAGTATAACCCTCATATACATATACTATGTGCTCACATTCATACAATTTCTATTAATTGATCTTGTTTATTAGCTCTGTTTCAGTATAATTTGCTTTCGATACTCTACATAAACGATCAATAAAAATCAATCAATTGACAAACAAACAAATTCATCCGCTCTCGACATGAAATTTCTTTATACAATATATTCTTTCTTTCAATATCTACAATGTCTAGACGAAGAGTGAATCCAACAACACTGTTGCGTTTCGCTTAATTGTGTGTTTACGAATGATAATTATACTAATCAGCAGGCCGTATTTATTACAGTAGCGTAAGAAGAGTTGATATTTAGAAGAAATATCGGTCAAATTGTTGTTAAGGGGTTAGACCAGTCCAAAAAAGGCTTCACTTTGACAATTTATTCTCGGAGTAAGAAATATTTTTCGGATTTGTCTCTTTCTTATACTGGCATTTTGATAAAAAATGTTGGCTACTGAACCAAATCGACGAAATCACCTATTTAAAGAGCGCCATAGGAAATCATGCTTTCTGAGACGTAATAAGTAAAAAAATTAATATAAAATTTCGAAATCTTTTTTTTCGATGTTTGTAACACCCAATAGGAAATGTTGGAGACCCTATAATGATATACATACATATATAATTGACCAACGTAAAACGCTGAGACGATTTAGCCCTGGCCGTCTGTCTATCCTTTTGTATATACATAAACTTGCCGCTCAGTTTTTAAGATATGAACCTGAAATTTTGCACACGTCCTTTTCTCAACAAGAAGCTGCTCATTTGTTGAAACCTCCGGTATCGAACAACTATAGTATATAGCTGTCATACAAATTGATTGATCCAACTCAAGTCCTTGTATGGAAAACTTTTTGATATGACAAGGTATCTTCACCTAATTTGGCACAGATTATAATCTTGAACATCGCTACAACCTCCGAACATATTGTTCAGATCGATCCACCATAGCCATACAAATTGGCCGATAAGAATCAAACTAAAGGTCTTTAAATCCTTTTTGCTATAAAAAATTCACCTGTGAAGTGTATTGAAACTTCGAAACAGTCGAAGTTAACGTTTTTTCTTGTTTTGAAATAAAAATTCCATTTCATTTGTTAACTAGTGCCAACAAGCAATTGCTGGTTGCCTGCTACTCCCTGATCATGAGCACAAGAAAAGCACTAAATACTTAGCTTCTCGAGTAACAAATGTTTTTTTTTTTAACTTTATTTGCAGCACAATGTTGAATGAATGCAATATTGCGATTTCAATTAATGAGCAATAAACGAATGCTCAAAATGCCAAGAGTGCCAATTGTTGGATCAAGAAAAAAAAGGCGAGAGAAAAATTAACAGCAACGAGAAAATTGCACTGCCTTGAAGAAATATGTACCAAGCAGCGCAATAAATTCGGCAATCAGCAATGGCACAACGCGTGACGCGTAGCATTATGAGCGGCAAGACGACAAGTGAAGTTCAGTGCTGATCATGAATTGGTTTGAATTAATATAAATTAAGGATTAATTTAGTCGGTTCCGTTGTGACAAAGCTGATCACTATATATGTAAATACATAAAGCAGGTTATGAGTACACCATATGGTATTTAAATTATACATTTGTTGAAAGAGTTACGTACAACAAGTTTTAAGTAAAGTGATTCCTTTATGTTTATGTTCAATACTATCAAAGAAGATGGATATGTATATATCTACGGGGTGCCTTTTTGGAAATAAGGTATTTCTTAAAGAAAAAGCTGTCAAATAACCTGTCAAAATAAAGAAAGCGTTTGACATGTACATATATTCAATGACGAAAGCGTCAGAAAAAGGATTTGTGATGTCAATGTCAACTGTCTAAGTGCTAAATTATAAGCCAAACCTCATGTCAAACCAGAGCACCAAATTTCCATTGGAATGAAGTTCTGATCACCAAATCATAGCATGTCAGTACATACCATTGATAAATCAGCTACGACTGATCGAAATTCGGTGCGTTCTTGTCGAGACACCGGATTTTGAACCACTTAGTTATATTGATTTGTCACGAAGTTTGTAACACCCATATGGAAACATCGGAGACCCCATAAAGTATATACATATGTATACAAATAATGATCAGCTGATGAGCTGAGTCGATTTAACCATACCCGTCTGTATACACGCCAAACAGTCCCCCAGTTTATGAGATATTGATTTGAAATTTTTTACATGTTCTCGTCTTCCCAAGAAGCTGCTCATTTATTGGAACCGTCGATATCGGACGACTGCAGCATATATGTAGCTGCCACATAAACTCACCGATCCAACCCAAGTTCTTATATGGAAAACTTTATTATTTGAGAAGGTACCTGTCAACCTTTAGCATAGATTTTTGTTCAAAGCAGCTCTACAATACCTGAAGAAATTTTTTAGATCGCATAACTATAGCATATAGCGGCCATACAAAGTGCACGATCAAAACCAAGTTCTTGCTTGAAAACCTTTTTTTGTTGTGAAGGGTATTTAGCTTCGATGTTGTATAATTTAATTTTTTTGCTTTACATTTAGATCTTTTATTGTTTTATTGTTTTAAATAATAAAAATTAAAACATGTTTTTCTTTTTATTTATATTTATTTTGTTTTTTTAATTTTAATTTTTAATAAATTTAGCTTTTATATAATATTTTATTTTTAATTTGTTTGTTTTTATAAATTTTATTTATTTCTTTTACTCTTATAATTTCATTATTTGATTATTTTTATTTGGTCCTTATATGAATTTAAGAATAATTGTTTATATTATTTTTATTTTCTTGTCTCATTTTCAATTTTTTTTTTTAATTTTAATTTATAATTAATTTTTTAATAATTATTACTTTATTTATTTTTATTTTTATTTGTTTGTGTGATATTTCATTTATATACTAATATTTTTATTTAAACTTCTTTTACATTAATTATACAATAACTGAATTATTGCTACTTCTCAAAGTTATTTGAAAATAGTTTTTTTAGTTTACATTTTTTTTAGTTTTTTTGCTTTCTAAACTTTTTAGTTATGATAAATTTAATTTAATACTATTTTTATTTCTTTATTAGTATAATTTTTTTATTTGATTCTTATTTGATTTTGATAATTTTTTTTTTTAATAAATATCTTTTTACTGAATTCCCCCTTATTTAAATTTTTATTATTTTAACTTATTTGTTTTTAATTTATCACTGATTTTTTAATAATTTGTTGTATTTTAAAATTTGTACGTTTTATTTTCTGTTTTCTATTTTTAATTCATCTTACTTTTATATAAACTATTAATAATTTTTTTTATAATTTTTATTTGATTTTATTTTATTTTATTCTTTATTTTAATTTATTTTGGTTTTACTTTTGTTGATTTTAAATTATTTTTTATATTATTTTATTTTTGTTTTATTTTACTTTATATTTATGAATTTATATTTTACTGTTATACACATATTTCTTTTAATTAATTGTTTTATTTTATTTATTTTTTATTTAATTTTATTTTTGTTTTATTTTACCTTATTTTACTTTATATTTTACTTTTCTATACATATTTGTTTTATTTTATTTTTTTATTTTATTTCATTTATTTTTTTATTTTTTTGTTTTATTTTATCTTCTTTTATTTAATTTAATTTTTTTTATATTATTTTATTTTATTTTATTTTTTATGGATTTATATTTTACCTTTATACACATATTTATTTTAATTTAATTTTATTTATTTCATTTTATTTAATTTTATTTTATTTCATTTATTTAATTCCATTTATTTAATTTTATTTATTTTATTTTACTTTATTTTATATTTTATGAATTTATATTTTACTTTTATACACATATTTGTTTTATTTAATTTTTTTATTTTATTTCATTAATTTTTTATTTTATTTTATTGTATTTTATTTTGTCTTCTTTTATTTAATTTTATTATTTATATTATTTTATTTATTTCATTTTATTTCATTTATTTAATTTAATTTTATTTGATTTATTTCTGTTATTAATTTAATTTAATTTTATTCTATTCTATTTTATTTTATTTTATTTTATTTTATTTATTTCATTTGTTAATTTTATTTTATTTTACTTTATTTTATATTTTATGAAATTATATTTTACTTTTATACTCATATTTGTTTTATTTAAGTATTTTGCATACCGTTGCTTCCAAGAAATACACTAATTTCATATTGTTATTGGAGCTCCTACAAAATTATTGATTGTTTTTGGTATAATAAATTTGATTGACTCCCAACAGCAAGTATTTCCAAACACATACACTCATGTATAAAAATTCAGCACACCATATGAAAGCTCCCATAATTAGACGCTTAATAGTCGCGAATTTTAAATTGCTAATTTCACCGCACACAAACACACACATACATGAACACGAATAAAAATCCGTTCGTTTACTTCCCAACCACCCACAACGAAACTGTTGTTTTTTATTGCTTGTTTTGTCTTGTTTATACCTTGAGTTGACTTTTCCTCGCAAATTTGTTGCGCCTTCAGACGTTGATCAATCACATAGAGCATTTCACATCCCAAATTGACCATTAGAAAGACGTTAGCGCGCGGGTTGCACTGCTGGCTCAAGGACGCCATGTTGGCCTTGTTGTTATTGTTAACGTAAGTGTAAATATGCCACCCGCCGCACGCGGGAAAAATTAACGATTATCAGCTGTTTGTTAGCTACCGTCAAAGTACTGTTATTTAAAGACACTGCCACACTACAATAACAAACGCTCGCGCGAATTTATTTAGTTTCCCCACAATTTTGTTTACAATTTAAGCGGAGCGCAACGTCTAGCATGCTAGCGATCCAATTGAACACTAACTCAATCTGCGTGAAGGCGCATACAGGAGTCAACATGTTACACAAGCGCCCCCACACACCGCCACTGCATACACACGCGCACACTCACACGCACACATACAACGCGCTCGCATTGCACAGTTCTACGATTAGCGTATGTCCGGCGTTGCGCTTGCCGTTGTCACTGTTTTCATTGTCGGTTAGCGCGCGCATACCGCCGCGCTTCGCTTGCAAGGAGAAACGCTGCAGGCAATGAACCGCAATGGCCAGGCGGCGACAGCGACGCGCGCGTTCACGTACGCGTTCGGGTTGGCTTTCGCGTTGTCGCCACATTGGAGCTTGCAGGACAATTAGTAACGGCAGCATTGCTGGCGCGCAAACAAGTGAACAAGTCGCCGACAGTCAGGCGATCGGGCAGTCTGTCACTCAGGTAGCTGTAAGGCATGTTAACTGAAAAGAAACTACCTGCCGTCACTTTGGTATGTGGGAAAATATGAATTTCTTATATGTACAATACATGACATATCGTACTTACATTTAATACGTATACCATAGTTTAACGTAGTAGTTTTTTTTATTATTTATATACATATGTGTATGTAAATGTCTTCTCTTTTCTCCAAATTCTTGAGTCGCACGGCACGCGAGGCCTGCGTTATAGGTTAACACTCAGCGCCATTTACAATGCCGTGTTTCGGTTTCAACGGGCGATAAAAAGTTCGTAACTGCTATATTTGGTTACATGTTTTTGGTGGTGCGGTAAAAACAGGGGTTAGCGCCAAGATGTAGACTAAACAATATAAATATATGATTATATGTAAATATATAAATATGCGCTCACACAATTTATTCGAAAACCTGCATATACGAGTACGTTTATATAATTTGTTGCGTATTTATGTGTGTGTTATGTGGCGCCAAAGCCAAAAGTGAAGGAAAGCTAACGAAATAATAGTTGTGACCGTATAAGTAACTACATGTCGGTAAGTGGGAAGTTACTAATGCAGCAGAAGAGAGCACAAGTCTTAGTTTTTATAGTGAAAGTTATTGATTCACAAATTTTTGTTACATTGTTTTATGCAGCACGTTATCTATAACGGTCGTCCATATGTAATAACAGTGCCGTTAAGTGGTCATTAAATAATGTTGCTAACATGTAAACATATGTATATGCATATGTAAAAATATATGTATATCGTACATCAGGAATGAGACGATCTAACAGCACGCTAGGTCGAGTGTATACCGTTATCAAAAAATGTAAAGAATTTGAATTTTATACCCTGAACAGGGTCTACGAAGTTTGTAACATGCAAAATTAAACGTCGGAGACTATCCGTCTGATCCAATTCATCTGAAATTTTGCACACGTCCTTTTCTCTCCAAGAAGACCCAAAAATCAATTCCTCTGTTTATGATACCTCTTATTAATGAGCGTTCCGTTAAGTACTTAGCCTCCCCGCAAGATGTCGCCACTATCGCAAAGAAATTTATTGACATGTTTTCTTAGACGTCTAGTTTTGTTTTGATCGTTTGCAACAGTAAGTGCGTCGCGACGCGATTCTTGTTACTGGAAGGGAATTAAATTAATCTCGTGCTGTGAAATGAATGAGTGCTGAATGCTGAATATAGTAACTCTTCGGTCTGTGTGGCGACCGATAAAAATTCACTTAACGAGTTGCAACATAGTCACTCGTCGATTTTTTATAATTCATGACTCGGTGCCCCGAAAACGGTTAACTAACAAAAATCCACTATCTCATATTAGTAGTACACCGATTAAAGAGAGATAGCGCGAAAAATATGTATGCCATAAAAAGGCGAGGGACAAAACCTACAAATAAGAGAAGAAGTTATCGCCGCACAGGAGGACTACTTTGCTTAAATCTAGAAATTTTAATTTTTAGATGAGTTAAAGATGTTGGAGCGTTATTGGGTCAACTATATATAGCTAAAAGGTCGAAACTATTGTAGACTAAGTTCATATCGGACCACTTTCATACATTCCCTGCTCAGAAGGTAAAATAAAGTAAATTACCCGCCTTTAATTTTTAGAGGTTGACTTAACTTACCCGTGGTTGTCAATACCACGTGAAAAGAGAGCAATTGTTATCTGAATATATTTATTATTTATATCTATATATATTTTTATCTTCTTGGATTATTTAAAAATAATACAATTTGATTTCTGACAATATTTTAATATTTTTTCTTCCACATTAAAATATCTCAGTTGTTTGATTGAACGTAAGTAAGAACAAAATATGGCAACGATATAAATGTCACGAACATGACTTTACTATTTGGCAGCTGCTGTCATTTTGAAATACACACAGTCACCGGAGGAAAATCGCATTTTTGTTTGTGTCTATCGTTTCGGTAAAATTTATTCAAATAAAATAGCATGGATTTCTCACAGGATTATGGTATCCACGACAATGCCGTCAGCACAGGTACCACTATTATGGCAGTGGAATTCGATGGCGGTGTTGTGGTCGGAGCGGACTCACGTACCAGCACTGGTCTCTTTGTGGCCAATCGTGTCACAGACAAATTGACTCGCATTACCGATAAAATATATTGTTGCCGCAGTGGTTCAGCAGCAGACACACAAGCAATCGCTGATATTGTGGCATATTCCTTAAATTACCATGAAAATCAGACTGGTCAGGAACCATTAGTAGCCGAGGCGGCATCAGAATTCCGAAATTATTGTTACAACTATCGTGATAGTTTGCTGGCGGGCATTATCGTGGCTGGTTGGGATAAACGTAATGGCGGACAAGTGTATTCTATACCATTAGGCGGCATGTTAAAACGCGAATCCGTAACAATCGGTGGTTCAGGTTCGAGCTACATCTATGGTTATGTTCGTGAAGCTTATCGCCCGCAAATGAATAAAGAAGATTGCGTTGCATTTGTGGTTAAAGCTGTAAAACATGCTATCTACCATGATGGTAGTTCAGGTGGTGTGGTACGAGTTGGTATTATCACAGAAGACGGCATTGAAAGAAGAGTGTTCTTTAATACAGAGTCCGGAAATCCAGTCGAAATTGGCAACTGAATACCTTACATAAAGAAGGCTTATGAATAATAAGAAATGTATATGGTTTTTAAAATTAATATGGATTATTTCAAATAAAATTTCATTAAAAAATAATATATATTGATTTTGTGTTTATTTATTTTCTTCATATGTGTTATCCCCGGTAACGAATCACAATAAAAAGCTGTTCTAACGGGCCTAAAGGCAGAAATTTCGGTTTCGAAACAAAATTTTTTGTACAAAGAATGTTTACATTAAGCATCGAAACATACGACAAACATTTTAAATGCTAACATTTTTTTTTCACAAGTTAGAATTTTTAACAAAATTAAGCATGCTTTAGAAGCCTTGTATAACAAATATAGTTATAAGAAATATATAACAGTATATCAGTTTTGCATATCTAATATAAACTTCTTTCCAGCGAATCCTTTGAAATCCAGAGCGGCTGCCATGGCATCCCTAAATTTTTGCAACGGTACCATCTCATGAACTGGTGCCACGAACTTGCCTTGTTCGATCAGTTCACACAATTCTGTAAACATTTGTGTACGTTCGGGTGATTCAGAGTTTTCTTTAGTCCAACGTGTCATCCAGAAGCCTCGATAGGATATATCCTTGAAAATGAGCGCAGCTGTACCGGCAATTACTGGTTCTCGTGACATTCCACCATAAGTAACCATTACACCCTTGTCAGCCAAATGACGTGACACTTCAGTTGCACTCTTACCGCCAACACAATTTAAAGCTAAGCGTGGCCGTGGTAAATGATTTTCTTTAAAGAGCGTACTAGAACGTATTTCTTCTTCTGTTAATACTTCGGTAGCACCTTGGGATTTTAAATATTCTTTTAAAGACGCTACATCTGGGCGATCACGTACAATACCAACGGATTTTATATTCCATGCCTTACACAATTGATGAACAGCTTGACCTACAGCACTATTCGCACCGTTCTGTATAACACAATCACCTGGTTGTAAAGTTATAAAATCTTTTAACATACGATATGCTGTGCAAGGATTAACAGTAAGGGTGGCTGCTTCAGCAAGACCAATTTTTGATGAAACAGGCATTAGTTGTTCTTCGGCAAAAATAGCATGCGTGGTCCATGTACCCAATCCAGTGGCAAAAGGTATAACATGTTGACCAGTGGTTAGTTTCGACACATTTTTACCAATGGCAATAATTTCTGCAACACACTCATTACCGCCAACGGCAGGGAACTTTGGTTTTACCGGATATTTACCTATAATAAAGAGTGAGCTTATAGGAATATATTGTGGTATGACGCACGAATTACCTTGTATGGTATTTATGTCAGCCGGATTAATAGGTGCTGCTAATACTTTAACCAATACTTCATTATCTTTTGGATCCTGTAGTTGGCCCTCTACAATTTCCATTACCTCAACCGGTTCGCCATGCTTGGAATACTTCAGTGACTTTACTAGAACGCTCATTTTACGTGTTAGTTGGAAGGTTTTCGATAAATTTGAAAACGCGTAGCGTGTGGGTTGAATTAAGGTTTTAATGAACATGCTGATTACTTATCACAAAATATTTGGATTATAATTCTAAATTATCTTTTCAACTTGTTATCACAATATCAGCTGTTTGTCTCTACAGAGTTGTATGTTGCTACAGGTAACAGACACTAAATATATGTACAATTTTATTAATGGGTACTGTCATCTATTTAATTTTGGGCAACATGTTCTGTTATATCTGGCATTTATTTTTTCACTTAAATTTTCAGTTACCTTTGCATTATAATATCTAAATGTCAGATAATTTTGAGAAAACAAAATTTTTAGTTGAGAAATTAACCAAAAAAATTGCAAAACTTTTTGGTAAAGCCGATATTTTTGTTTTAAGCCTATCTGGTAACCACTCCACTGAAGTGTAACTCACGCTATTATATTGACAGCAGCTGCGTGTTTGTTGTTTCAATTCAACGGTCAACTGTGTCAAATAATTGTTCGAAAATTATTAAAGGTGAGGTGTTTTCAATTTTTGCATATTTAATATATATATAGAAAAATCACAAGAGTGTTATTATATTATATTTGAAACTGATAGAGGTGTACTATAAAGGTGTTTCGTAGAAACCAAGCTTAAATATGTCGGTTGCCGCGTTGTCCACATTGGCAACGTTCGACGATATTCGTCGTTGTATTCAGGTGTTGACTGATGGCACCGCAGAGGAAGGTAAGAATCTTTAGCGTAGCTTAAGCCACAAGAAAAATACAAATTAAATTCTTATGTATTCTATTAGAATTCCTACGAGTTTTGCGTTTACAAGAACAATTTCGGCAGGAATGCCTAGATACCGCAAAAGAAGCACAGCGTATACAGAAAGAATTAGACGCTTCACTAGAATCAATGGCAGATTTGGAAACGAAGCTTTATCATGCGCGTCGTCTCCTTGAAGTAGAAAGTAAGTTACGTCGTGAAGCTGAACATGAGCGCGATCAAATGGAAAAGAAAATAATTGCTGTGGCTGACTTGGTACAGAAAGATGCCAATTTAAACAATGAGACACGCGATAAGTTAGCCTTTCTAAATACTTTGCCGCGCAAGCGAAAGTCAATGAATCGTGTTATGGAGGAAAAATACGGCAATGATATCAATTCCACAGGTTCATTTCTTTCCGATTTATCTATAACACAGTCTGAGGATGATTTTCTGGATGTGCGCCCATCTACTGGTTGGCAAAAGCATCGTCCCTCTTTGCCTAAAAATTCAATACCTTGCGTGGGCGGAAAGCGTTCACGTGTTAGTGGAGCAGGTATGCAAACAACACCAGTAGCCAATACAAGGCGCTCGACTACACGACGTAGTGGTGTTGGTACACAACAGCAACATATGATGGATGTAGCACCTGGTTCTGAGCGCATATGTGCAACTACTAAGGTGACTATCCCAGGAGATGGAAATGGTGCTATACGTGCGGAATCTACCATTGAGTCTATGCCTGCAGTGCCAATAGTTGCTACAGTGGCTTTGGATAAAGAGGCGAGCACTGAAGAAGCGGCATGTACTACACCTACTGGTTCACCTTATAAACACGCAACTGCACCACCAATAACACCGATGACAGCAATTAAATGTGGACCAGCTATTAATTTATGTTCACCACAAGTGTCCAGCTTACGCACACAGTTGATGCGACCACATAATTTCGCTTCACGCACTTTCATACGAACGGATACTTGCACACATTGCCAGAAAAAGTAAGTATTTATTTACAAATTAAATTCAAAACAATTACATATAAGTAATTTATTTTCCAATTACAGAATACGTTTTGGTACTGTAGGTGTGCGCTGTAGGGACTGTCCAGTACGTTGTCACGCAGATTGCCGAATTGCGTTGGCAGTAAGTTGCGTACCACAATCGGGTACGCCCACAATTAAAGGTATGATGGGTTACATCAGTGATTACGCACCGAACGTGTCACCGATGGTACCAGCGCTTATTGTACATTGCGTTAATGAAATTGAATCACGCGGTCTCAATGAGGTTGGTATTTATCGTGTATCGGGCTCGGAGCGTGAGGTCAAGGCACTCAAGGAGCGCTTTTTACGCGGTAAAAACACACCACATCTGGGCAATATTGATGTGCACGTCTTGTGTGGATGTGTAAAAGATTTTTTGCGTTCCTTACGCGAACCACTCATACCTACAAATTTATGGAAAGATTTCTGTAATGCAGTGCAACAGCCCACAGAAATTGAGATACAAAAGGATCTCTTTAAGGCAATTGATGCTTTACCAGCAGCAAATCGGGATACTTTAGCTTTCTTAGTACTGCATTTTCAACGTGTTGCTGAATGCCGTGAAGTTCTAATGCCGATTGATAATATTGCGCGTGTATTTGGACCAACTATTGTTGGTTATTCATCGGCAGATCCAGATCGACACGCCATCTTTACTGAAGTGTACATGCAGTTTACCACCATGCAGAATTTGTTGAAAATTCCTGGCGATTACTGGGCACAATATGTGTCATTGGATGCAGATAAAGAGAATAATCAAACAAATAGCTTAACTAATAAAATTACGCGCACACCGAGCCACAATACCAAAGAATCGCTATATTCCTTGTATGGTGAGTTATTTGTATTTTGAATAACTCACTATTTTTCTAATTTATTGTGATCTTCCATATAGCAACTCCACTCAAAGGCACACTTAAAAAGCGAAAATTCCATGCTACACCGCCATATCCGTATAAAAAATAATATTAAATAAGGAACTTTTGGTGTAAATTTAAAGCAACCGTCAAAGCATCCGTCACAAAGAAACTTGCGTACTTCATTTTTCTATTTTAATACATATTTTGCAAAGTAGCATTTCTAATATTTTTGTTAGTCGCCGCTAAAAAAAACAATATATTTTGTTGGCGCATATTTACATTCATTTAACAATTAATTTAATTTTGGTTCACATTTTCAATGTACCTCATTTGAACTTTAAGTATATATGTACATATATGCGCTACTTTGAATTAATTAATTTTTCTGTTGTTATAATTTGGATTATTCTTGCGAATTAGTTGCTTTTGAGCAAATACACATATTTATTTACATATGGTTGGAGAAAATAATTGGTTGTGGGTCCATAACATATGTATGTATTTACTATGTGAATACTTAATATATAATGAATATTAATATTTTTTTATACTGTGCTCATTTTTACAATAACGCCTAGAATAAGGTATTTCATTTATGAACAAAAAAAAAACAACATATTTTTTTAATAAAATTGCAAAAGTTCAATATTTCTGAATTAAATTTGATTTGTGTTTCAATCTAATTTTTAAACGACAAAACGGTTTAACGGTGAACAGTTACAAAAAGTAGCTGTCTATCAATATTTACAATTTTACTTGCCACTGCAACCCTGTGGAACATTCAGACAAATGATCAGTAGGAAAATAATTTATTAATTCTACTAATAGCCATATTGCATATGTTGTATTATTACAAAACCACGCAGTGTAATTTAATTGGCCATGTATGTATTATATATACCAGTTACTTAGCATCAACGAACGTGGCAGTAATATTACAATAATTATCAGCGATTAATAGTGACGTTGGACAAGAAATTGACTTCACCAACTTAAGTTTTCTCTACAGGGTATGCTCGTCACCACAATAACAACCGGCATATAAATAGAAAACTTGTTATCTCCTTTGCACACGCTGAACTTTATAGCAAAATAAGATCAGCGCTGTCAGAATTTCTATATGCCCGTTGATCTAGTTCCACCGCACAATTTCATTAGTATTTTTATTCCGTTTCCAGATCTTGCGGCGTAAGTAACGTGCTGATAACGACAAATCTAATAAGAAATCAACTAAGCAGGCAACTTTATTTTTATTTTTTAATATATTGTGTTGGTGTGTTTCCTTTGCAGGCGTGTGGCAATCAATAATTTCAATTAAATAGTGCAAAAATGGCGAATATTGCAAAACTTCTGGCTGGACGTGCACAACATGTACTGCAAGTGGCAGCAAAGCAGCCGCAGCTGACACCGCGTTTCTTTGCGTCCGGTAAGTGCAGTATAAGAAATTATAATTTCTATAGAATATTTTAAGCCGGCTATCTCTTGTGCTCCTGGCTATCTTTGTGCCCTTATGAACTTCCATACATATCACATGTATTACAATGTATACGTGTGAAAGTAAAAGTTGGACTTTGTACATAATACGACTGGTTTTTTTTACTCTTTTTGTGCAAAATCAAGTTTTTTTAAATTATATTTTTTAACAAAAGTACATTTGCACGTTTGTTGAGTTCAAGAGCAAGGTGTCTAATTAAAAAAGGAGGTGGGACAAAAACTAGCTGTCACTTGTTGTTTTTGGTTAATTTAACGACGGTGTTATGTAATAATGACATTGACGTGTGGTAGTTCACATTCTTATTTGTTAGATGTTGTTTTCATTTTTTTCGGAAGGTGTTTATAAAATGAGCACTGAAATAATTTGTTTAAGTTAATTGTGCCTGTCGTTGTGTTTGGTAAACATACATACATATGTTTGTACATACATTGTTAGAAAATTTTTTTACAAAGGGACGTAATTTATACAAGAATGCCGGTTACTACTTAAGTTGTATAAATAAATATATATGTATGTATGTGCATACGTACACAAGTGGAAAATTAAATGTAGAATATATACAAAAATACATGCACAAATAAATACATATATACATACATATGTATGCCATAGATTTATGCTTTGCTGAGATTTTATTATGCTCAAAACTAATAAAACAGCATGTGATTAGATAATATGTAATGACAGTATTATTTACCAAAATAATTTAATAAAGTAAATAAATATATTTCAATAATTAATGCAACATGTGTTTTTCTACAGCCGCCAACTTGGAGTACATCAAGCACGAAGTGACTGGTGAAAAGAAGAATGTTGCCGTAATCACATTGAACCGCCCTAAAGCGCTTAATGCTCTGTGCAATGGTCTGATGTCGGAACTGAGTAAAACACTGGATACATATGAACGTGACGCGAATATTGCCGCTATTATTATCACAGGTAGTGAGAAAGCATTTGCAGCTGGCGCTGATATTAAAGAAATGCAATCGAACACCTATTCGCAATGTATTATGGGTAATTTCTTGAACGATTGGACACGTGTTGCACGCTGTCAGAAACCCATTATTGCCGCTGTAAATGGTTATGCCTTGGGTGGTGGCTGTGAGTTGGCTATGATGTGCGACATCATTTATGCCGGTGAAAAGGCGAAATTCGCTCAGCCTGAAATTGCTTTGGGCACTATTCCCGGCGCTGGTGGCACACAGCGTTTGACACGTGCTGTTGGCAAATCCAAGGCTATGGAAATCTGTTTGACTGGCAACATGATCTCGGCTGTGGAGGCAGAGAAAATGGGTTTGGTCAGCAAGGTAGTGCCCGCCGATCAGTTGGTGAACGAAGCTATCAAATTGGCTGAGAAGATCGGCACACACTCAGGCTTGATTGTACAACTATGCAAGGAGGCCGTTAATACAGCGTACGAAACAACACTACAGGAAGGTTTGAAGTTCGAACGCAGAACTTTCCATGCCACATTCGCAACTGTAAGTAAATGTTAAAATATTTATTTATTTTTAACGAAGAAATATACATTTTATTTAACACTCTTATTAATCGTATCTTTTGCAGGAGGATCGTAAGGAAGGCATGACTGCTTTCGTTGAGAAGCGTCCAGCTAAATTCAGCAATCTTTAAACTATAAGTACTAAGTACAAAGTAAAGCATTTGGATTAAATATGGATTCTTATGTCTAAATATTCAAACCAGTTTTTGCATTTATATATATTATTTTTGTATTTTATTATAAATATTTTTGCAACACAAAGCTACTGCAATTTCTTGCAACAATAGTAAAAAATATATATTTGGTGAAAGAACGTGTACAGTAGGAAATAGTAAACACATCATGTTCTTGTTATCTATAAAATAAATAACCTTTTTAATTAAAACATTTGCAATGCGTATATATGTATATTAGTGACTATTATGCAATGATAGGTGCAAAGTGAGAACGTAACTTCCATAGTCTAGTAGCCTCCTCTCAAGCAGAAGCATTTTAGTTTAAATATGGAAATATGTACATGATGTCTCTTATCATATACATAGGTACTTATGAATAGAAGAAAATTTAATGTTTTGTTCATAAACATTTGATATACAATTATTTGAAACTTGTACATTTGTACATTGAAAACATCTTATTGCATTTTTTTTTAGTGCCGAATATCACTTATAAGAATACAAATTTTACCAGTTTCTACATTCTTAGATCAATTAAAAATGTATAATTATAAAAAATATACTCCAAATAATTTGAGAAAAGCTATCGGCTAGCCCTTGACCATGATATTGGTCCGACTAGCTTAAGGTAATGCTCAAGTCATTTTTAATAGTTGCTATATGTTAAAGTAATAAATAACAAGTGAGATCTGAGAATGTTTTTTCCTAAAGAATTATCTATAATAAAAAAAAGTAATACTCTTATACATTTGCATGTTATGCAGTTTTAATTGCAAACTTTTTTTTTACTGGAATTGCTTTTTCAAATCTGTCCAAAAATTTTTTTTATAGTAACTATTTATATTTTTTAAACATAAAAAAATAATTTTTATATAGAAAATTTTTTATGCATAAAAAATAATTTTTTTATAGAAAATTTAATAAAAAAAATTGTATATCATTTGTTATAGACATTTTTAATATTTTTTTTAATTGAAAAATCTTTTTTTCTCTCAATAACTCAATAATTATAAGTATTAAAACTCATAAAGTGTATACATTTTTTTTTTTCAAATAGAAATTTTAATAAAATATTTGTCTTTCAGAAGTCAAGAGACTAAAATTGCACACTAAAAATTCGAAATAAGTAAATATAAAATTTTGTTTGAATACTTCAAGGCGATAAAGCTTAAAAAGTTCGCATATTGATGAATGCGTAATTTTAAAAAATAGCGAAACATTTTGTTTTGAATAAAAATTAATATTCAATATTTTTTTTCAAAATACCTAAGCTGCTGTTTCAGAAAGTTAAACTTTTACTCAATAAACAAAATTTCATGCGTTCGAAGCAAAACTATTGATATGCAAAAGCAATTTGCGCACACATTATGCATTTTTCGTTGCATATTTCTAGGCGTATACACCTAAATAATTAAATTCTTATGTTCAGTAACGGAAATCGATATATACATAGCTGTAGTTGTAAACAAAGCATAATATTATACTTATGAAACGCAAAATACACCTGTTATAGAACAACTTGGTAACTACCGGATATCCAGCATGAATAAGGCGTTTTACATTTCAAAAGCTTTTGATTTTTGATTTTTTCTTCTTCTGTTTATACATATATGTTTTTATGTGTTTACACATTTTTATCAGCAAATCAGTGATACCAACCGCACCACTAAATTGACACTTGCTGGTGTGCACGCGCCACCGATGCACAGAATTGCAGACCCACCCTCACATTGGCGTAATACCTGTTTCGTGCGCTTACACATGACAACTTGCAGGAGATGTTAACAGTTAGAAAAGCTCGCGCAACGATTTCAGTACATTTTGTGTTTCCGTTATTTGTGGCAATAGCACGGCTAGTAGCTGTGCTGCAAACCGAGTGAACGAGCAACAAACAAACATAGTATACATACAAAGAGTGTAAGAAATTGTTCGAGCGACGACGACGACGCGACTACTATAAATATTACAATACATACAGAGGTGCGAGGTGTGTGCAATGAAAAGCGAAAAAATAAATAAATAAAAATAAATAAAATTAATAAATATAATGTAAAGTACTTGTTGTTGTTGCTAGTTTTTAAGTGTTGGCTAAGGAAACTTAATTAAAAGCAGAAATTCGCCAAACCAACTCAATACATACATACATACATAATCGTGAATATAAATACATACACAAGTGAAAACGAAATATTTCAAGCGCAATTTTCAATTTGCGAATTTTTTGCGCACATACATACATATTTCTTGCTAAGTATTTATGCACATAAATATTACGTGCATACTTGTATATACACAAGTGCGCGTGTGTGTGTGTAACATTTACTACGTGAATATTTAAATGCTATTGAAAGGTTAATTTCATTAACACTAACGGTTATATATGCGCGTTGCGTTGGAATGTCGTTGTGTCACACACCTTCACTGCCACCTAATCGTATTTGTATTTGGCTGTGTGCGTTCGTCCTCTAAACTGGTTTGAAAAAAGCGTACGCGTGTCTATGTGTGTGTACGCGCTGTTTTGTAATCAAAAACTGGAAAAATTGAAATTGTGAATTTTCTGCCCAACAAAAAAAAATTTTAATAATAATAATAATAAACAAACAAATATAAACACATTCAAAGCAATTGCGTTTTTTTTTAATTCTAAATAGTTGCATATTAATTAAATTTTTTTTTACATACTTATATACATATGCATGTGTTTTTTTTCAGATTTGTGCAAAGTAATAAAATTTTAAAAATCGTGTCAGCTTTTGACAACTAAAACTATCCACCCGCTAACACACACACACACACACCTTCATACTAAAAAAATGGATATCTTAGCTCAAATACTGAATATGAATGCTGGTGGCGCGTATGGCGGTGGCAAGGCGGGTGGCGCCTTTGATCCCCTCACATTTGCCATGAAACCGCAAGTCGTGATACGCGCATTTTGTTGGGTAAGTTGACATTTTTACGCTCATGCACACAAATATATATGCAAACACTGTCACAATTTTTTTTTTTATATATTCTACTAAATATATATGCATTTGGTTATAGATAATTTGGCAGTAAGATCACATACAATTTTGGTCAGTACAATTCATTATTTAGTAAATAAATTTTTGCTCTTCATATGCTTTATACATATAAACTGATTTTACTTTCTAAGTATATAATAACCTATATAAGTATATATATACAGCTCTACTTAAGTAACTTGACTTAAATAATGCTAGTATATGCATTTCTGAAGGGTTAGGCCCCTCTGTAGTCATGAAAAAAGTCTTAACCTTTATAATATATTCTGGAGGCAAGAGAAAAGCAAATGTATTTCTCTCTTCTAGGCTCTATTGAACATGCATTTTTGTTAGCTTAGTTTACATTGTCTCACTGTCACGTCATACATAGACCTACAGGTCCTTTGTAATGCAAGATGGCGGTTCATTACTAATACCAGCTGAAGTTTACGTCATGTAGGACGTTAACGCTTTTTGCGAAGTTTAATAGAGACTTGAGATTTTGATACTTCGTCCAGTCCATTGCACTGCGCAACTCATAGATATCCAGGCTTTATAGATAAGGTCGGACATAAGCAGAAGAGGCGTTCCAGTGTCTTTCTCATGCTTACTTCCCTACACTTTCTAGGTGTGTTGACAGTGAGTGGTGACCTGTGATTAGGCCAACAACCGCCCTGCAGTCTTTTTGAGACCGCGTGAGTAGAAAGCTTGCGTCTTTTACTTCCACTCTCTTTCACATGATCTTGGCGATCCTGCGTGCCCCTAAGGCATCTCATATCACCCTGATACGTCTGTCAGTCCTTTCCGAAATTTCATGGTGTATCTGTATTTCGTTTTTAGCGACTTACGTATTTCCTTAACTGGTTCGGTAGCCAAGCGGATGACACTTTTGGCAATACCATAAACATTTATTTCAGTGAATAAATAAAAATTATATCGACATTTTGTTACAAAACAGCGGTTCTGGGTCAATCTTTGGAATCTCCGTTTTCAAGGCGACCCCTATGGTTTATGGTGATTCTAAGACTTCGTACCATCTGAAATAAAATAGAAAGCGACATCTTAATCTACACAAGACTTAGGGGTTAGTATGGCAAACGAGTTGCTTCAACTCTCTGGCAAAAACTGGACAGTGAAGGAGAAAGTGGCTAGATGTTTTCACCACATCATCCTCATTGCAACTTTGACAAGTTGCGTCATCTAAAATCTTTAGCCTCACCGCTTGAGTGTCAATGGGAAAGTGTCCAGTTAGAACACCTATCATTGCGGTGATGTGAGTCTTGCTAAGAGCTAGTAGTCCAATAGACCTCTCATATTCCACTCTGCGCCAGAAGGCTTTCGCAACCTCAGAAGTGCTGATTGCTGACCCACGATTGCTGTGCTTGCGCGGGATCCATAAATTCAGTGGCGGGATGCACGAAAACAGGATAACATCTGCTAGTTCCCAGCCTAATGGAATTTGGGTTAGGTTGCACTCTTTGCAAGCTCTTCGGCTTTACAGTCTCCGACCATTTCGTTGTGGCCGGGCACCCTGACAAGTTTAATATGATAGTAGCTTGATACTACTGCTGGTAAGTTTATGCGCTCCTTGACTAGCTTTATGCTCACTGTCAACGAGTTCAAGGCCTGTATAGCAGCTCTGTTATCAAAGTGGATACATACAAGTACCTTTCTAAAAGAAGCCGTACTTCGAAGAAGTACAACTGCTGCTACCTTGATGGTTGCCACATCTGTTTGATAGACACTACAGTGGTCTGGCAGTCTGAAACAAAAGTTGATTGAGCCTCCCGATAGAAGACTCCTACTACAACCTTCTCCTTGAGCCTCGTTCCATCCGTGAAAACGCTCACTGTGCCTCCAGCGAATTCGCCACACATAAATATTCCTCGGAGTTATGTGCGCGAAAAAAATGCCACAATGAGGGGTGATTTCGATATGTACCTCTCTGTGATACCAAATTATTATACTTGATTCCTTATTGCTATTTGCTTTGCGAAGTTTGTAGCCATATTTCTGCTCCTTACCCTACATATCAGTGTTTCCCACTTCACTTTTATAGCTCCCTAAATGAATCGCCCCTTAGTTAAATCATTTCGGGTAGGTTGGGACGTATGTGACATTTCTGTGTTAACAACTTACCATACAAATCAGGCGCAAGAGCGCTTACTTCAGATTTTTTTCGCTTTTGTGGTAATTAACACAAATCATAATAATGTCACGCACCCTTATTTACCGTTACGACAGTAAGTGTGTTGATATTTATAGCCGCTGAGAGTCGACAGCTACCTTCTTCACCTGCTAAGTTTGAGTTCTGCAAAAAGTACATGGAATTTTGTTAAACATGTGAAAGCAACGACAATGGTATGCAGTTAACTGTAAATACTTAAATTTGTATATATTAAAAAACAAAAAAATAGATACATATACATATATTGAATTTTTCAAACATTGAATTTAAATTTTTTTATTTACAAATTTTTTTTTATATATTTATATTTGATTTTTTTTTGTTTTTTTTTTTAGTTAGTAAATTGTTTTATATTTCACTGCTTTAAAAATATTTGCAATTTCGCGTGAGAACTATTCAATGAAGCGTATAAAATCAGTACAAATTCCACAAACTTTCACATTTCAAATATTTGCCTTTTTTCATGTCATAAATATGCATATATTCATGACTTGAGTGCTGACAATATGATTTCAGTAGAGTGTGACTTTGATATTCACATTGTCAGCGCGACAACACTATTTATGCACATAATATGCCCACCTAATAAATACAAACTACATACTAGTGTAGACCTTATATAATAAATTTCATAAATATGTATGTAAGTAAGTGTGGCCAAGTCCCCAGTCTTTTGCTTGTCCCTCAATTTTGTGCTTACGTCAGTGAAGTCACTACATTGCCATATCCTGCCAACAGTTGGCCAATGTGCTACCTATAATATTGCTAAAACTGTTTCACAGTACTATACAAGTATATGCTTAGGTGGCACACATACCATATATAGGATTTTAAGGGTATATCTATGCATATGTATTTTAGGAAAACAGTAAAATGTTTGAAGAGAAAAAGTAAAATAATTTTCGAGTTTCGACGGCGCTAGAAATAGGTACTCCACTGCTGCAGTGATTACGGTCGCCTACGTAAATGCAACCTGAAAAAAAACCCACTAGAAGATGTTGTACGTGCAATGACTTACGGTCGAAAAAAAATCACAAATTGACAAAATGTGGACGGTTTTTTTAGAGTTGAATTTTACCTAAAATTTTGTTTATAACGGTTTATGAATGTGATTTCGAAACTGTCTAAGACTTTGTTCAAGGCTTCAAAAATGCGCCGAAAGCGAAATAATCAAAATTCGCTGAATTTATAAAAATAATTTTAATTAAATTTAATTAATTGTTGGCATGCCTGTGTTGGTTTAGGAGCCTAATTTTAACGCAATAATATAGTTTTGGATTAAAATAACTACGTGAAAATAAAGTTTTTTGTTAGTCCGGGTCAAATTTGATCAGAAGGTTTTGATGGCGATAATATAGATTTGAATTAAATATCTGAAAATATGTTTTTTGTTAGTCCGGTTCAAATTTGATCAGCTGATATGTAAACCTTGTTTGGAAGGTCACTCCCTTAATTGTTATCGAAATTATCGAATGGAAGGTCTAAGAAACGAGCTGTTTCGATGAGTTTTGAACATATACAGGGAGGAGCGTGTTTCATAGGGCAGGCAAAGTAGTGGTTAATGTTAGGTGACCATATTTGTCCCTGCAAAATCTGGGACAGTGTTTTTTAGTCATCGATTTTTTCCATATTAGAATTCACTGAATAGATGAAAGATCAACACCATTTTATTCAATTCATTAATTTGTTTAATTTCTAAGCCCGGGACGGCCGGGACGTTTAACTCGGAATCCAGACTGTCTCGGCCAAAACGGGACGAATGGTCAGCAGGAACTTAGTGTCATGCAGGAATTTCATACATACGGTCATGGAATGTCATCTCAGATAAAAAAAAGTATTTTTTGATTATTTGCACGCGTTTATAAATTTTAAGTATGTAAATAATGATGACTAGTGGAAAAATTTATATTAAAATTGAATTTGAAATTGCACACTAATTAAATGAATGAGAATTTTTGTGGTCAATTCTGATTTTTAATATGCATCAAAAATATGTGTGTGCATTCATTTATGTGTATAAAGTGCTGTATATATGAGGCTACATAAATCATTTGATGTCCTTCTGCAGCACGCCTCTTCGTTCATTCGCCCGCACAAGGCCATACAAGGCCCTTTAATGCAACACATTTGCCTTTGTCATTAGTTTCGCTTCATTCATGATAAATTTCAAAAAGTAAAAAAAAAAACTGCGTATAAACATATATATGTATATAAAAATATATAATATGACCTATGTATGTATATCCCCTAACCAAAATGCCACCCATTGTAGGGTATGATTACGAGTCGTAGGCGTCAGTTGTGCATTGCTTCATAGCCATCACTTTACAAACTTTTGATTTTATTGCAGTTGTTGTTGTTATTACATAAGCCTCGTGTTGGCAGTAGTTTACTAACTCTGACTTCTTTGTTGTTGGCAAAATATTCTTTCCAGGTCTATACATTTTTATATGTATTGCTGTATGATAATACAAATATCGAACAGCTTTTACTTTTCATTACTTTTGTTTTTATAACTGTTGGATGAATGGCATACTGTTTTAACTACCGTGTTTTATCTTTCTTTTACGCTACTTTTACTGCATTTTTATTACTTTAGTTTCTGTTATTTATTGAGAAAATCCTCACTTGCTTTAGCATTAACTTTTAATTGAATTCAAATATGTAGTGTCGGTCCGGCAGCCTTGCCAACGCTGTCAAAGCCTGTTGCCATCGGAAGCTCGCACTCGCTGCTGTCAACTTCACTAACTATTTATTTAGCTAACATGTCTTCGCAAACTTGGCCTTGACGGGCAGCAAGCGGCAGAAAGGAAAGTGAAAATTTTCTTTTTTTTTAATTTAAACTAGGTCAGTGTGGGCGACTTCCCCTCATCTGCGCTATTAAATGTTGATTCATTGCCGTGGTTTATGGTGTGTGCCTTGCATTGGCGCCGCAGCTGTCATTCTGTCTTTTCCACAATATGTTGTGGGTGGTCGGTCAGGCACTTTTATTTCTGCCGCTGAACTTTGATTAAAGAGTGGTTTATGATTCATTATTGCACATATGGTTTGGTACAGATACTAAGAATTGATATTATTTTTAACGATTGCTCATTCCGTCTATTTAAACGAGAGGCGCAATCCGTATGTTTTTTTTTTTTTTTGCACAGTGTCTACGAGAAGCCTGTCGATTGCTAAGATCAAAAAAAAAAAAAAAATATATATATAGCTGTAGAACTAGATAAATAAGCTGATTAATATATATATATAATATAGATAAATATTATCCTTTAGTGTAATCTAAAATATAAAGTGAATCTTGTATTGCGCAATACCGTAATTTTTTCTTAATTTTGAGATGTGAATCAGATATGTCAAAGTGCTGAATTGTGACTCAAAATACTGTCAAAAGTAAAGCGCTATCTCGTGTAATTCCGAACTATATGCAATCGATTTGAAATTTTGTGAAAAAAGTGTTTTGATACCCTAAATTTTAAATTTAAACCTTAAGAAATAAACTTCTAATGATTCTGCCGGTAATTGAACCATCTAAATTTATCGAAGCATCTCCCTACGAACCAAAACAGACAGAAATTAATATGCTTCGGCGACTAATGTAAAGAGGAAGATTAAAATGATATTTACAACACAATATTCTTAAAGAAAAAGGAAGAAATTTGGTAGATTTAATAACTTAGACTGCAAATTACCGAATTTTATTTTATATGATTAACGTTGGGTATAACTAATGTCAAAGTCATAAAATTCTTCTGATCTCCCTACAAATAGAACATCTTTATTTTTCTTAACTGCCATATATTATGACAATTATATTACCCGTTCCCTTGACAGTCGGGTCTAAGTAACCGGAATGGATATAACTTCAGGAATGTTTTCTGTCGCTACTACAACAACAACAAGTCAACGCCTTTTCTTGTTTTAATTACTTTTTGCTTTACTGTTGGTTCGAAAATGCATTTCAAAAAGTTAATTCAAAAATTCAATTCAGTTGCAGTTTATCCTTTACAAATACAATATGTATATGTAAGTGTAGAATGATAGAAAAAATATCACGACAGTTTCATCCAGTTAACTTTTAGAAACTACAACATATAATGTGTATTGCAGATACGTACTTCTATTAAAAAAACAAAACGAAATACTCTGATATGTATATTTGTATTCGAGAAATGACATTTATTGTCAAAAAATTACAATTTTTGGAAAAATTAGTAACGAACTCAGTTATTAATTAATATTTCTTTCACTTAAAATTTTTTTATTTAACTATATTCTATACACTACAAGGCACAATTCAAAAGGGAGTTTTTAAACAACGTGGCTTCTAGTGGCGCCATCTGTCTGAAATTGTTATCCCTCAATTGTGTATTCTTCAGTGTTGTCGTATTAAATTTATATAACAGCTGACTTGTATAACAGCTGAGATATTGCGCTACATGTGACATTACATTTGTAGTGTCGGTCGGAAAATGAGCATCGAACAAAAAGCAAACATTAAGTTTTGTTTTAAACTTGGTAAAACTTTTACCAAAACTCATCAAATGATGAAACAAGTTTATGGCGATGATTGTCTATACCGTAGCCGTATTCACGAGTGGTTTAAACGTTTTCAAGAGCGTTGGGAGGACTTGGAAGACGACGAACGTTCGGGCCGGCCAAAAGATGTTGTGAACGAAAAAAACACGGAATTTGTGCGTGAATTCATTAAAAAAGAGCTGAAATCATCGCTTAAATATATGGAATCGGAAATATCAATATCCGCAGCGTCGATTTATCGTATTTTGACAGAAAATTTTTGCCTCAGAAAGGTTTGTGCTCGATTTGTCCCGCACACTCTGAAACAATACGAAAAAGACCTCAGAATTCAACATTCAATTTGACCAAAAATCGCATTCATATCATCAACCAATTTTTATTTTTTCGGAAAACTACATTTGGTCATAAAAGGAAACCGCTATGCTGACGTTGATGCCATCCAAAAAGCGACGATCGCCATCCTCAACGCTATACCGACAAATGACCTAAAAAAGTCATTCGATAACCTTCTTGAACGTGCAAAACGTTGTATTCAGGCGGAAGGATTTTCAAGGCGACCAATAAATTTTTCAAAAAAAAAACAAATAATATTCATATGTATATGTTTTATTTCAATTTTATGCTACGTTTTTTTAAATAAAAAGCCATAATTTTTGAGATTTACATAGTAAAATTTTCCTCCTAATATTGAAGGATTTTTGATTTCGATGCTGACTTGCTGTCCTAGCTGGTGAAGCTCGTTTGAAAATCTAGTGTATAGTAATCTAAAGTAATTTTTAATTTTTTAACTCAATTGTTTTGTTTCTTTTTTGCTGCTGTTGAAGTGTCGGAAAACATTTCTTAAATAAATTTGAGGCATGCGGCCGAGTTGACTACTCCTGACCTGCTATAATCCTAAAAACACCTGTTCCATTCCGATTTTGTAGACCCAAATGTAGTAGAAACAGTTCAATTCTAATTGAGAAAAATGCTTCTATGACCTAAAATGACTTATGTACAATATAAAAAAATTACTTTCTAAAATGTGAAAAAATGAGAGAACTTTCAGAGGTATTTAAACACAGCGAGTAAAGTATACAAATCTATTAATACACATATATAACTAAAAGCAAGTACAGTTTTATCTTTACACTCTTATGTTGGCCTCTATTTCGGACATGTTTCCTGGTACTATTGCTCATTGTTCGCATTCACTTTTTATGCTAATGCATTTGTATTTTTTATGTATTTTCTTTTTTTTGTTTCCTTGCCAACCGTATTTAAACATCCAATAATGGCATACCATGACTTGCCTTATAGCAATAATCGCCGCACGAGCACTTTCCATAGTTATTTCCCCATAAATACATACAGACACACATATATACTTATCTTAGTAGTAGTAGTTCTTCAACATATGCATATCTGACTTGTTTCCTTTCCTTAGCCATGCTTTATTTCCTACTACTTATTGCAGCAAACATGTCTAAATAGCAGCAAAAAATAAGTAGAGCAGAAGATTTTTTGCGACATTCCACCACCATTACTCTGTGTCGCATTACAATGGCGATAAGAATGGAGGCGACAGCGGCGGTTTTGCCGACAATATACAAGCGGAAGAACGAATAGCCATTGTGCGGGCTATGGACAATGCGTATGGCAAGAGAAGTGGTGGTAAAAGAAAAAAAGGGACGTAAAAATGAAGCCTGCTGGCTGTTAGTGGATAGTAGGGGCACTCCATTTGACAGCTTGGTTAGTGGGCGTGTAAAAGATATAGCTGAGTAGGGTAATAAGTATTGTAGTTACAAGCACCGAGTATGTGTCAGTATGCAATTTTTTTTATTGCTTATAAAGGGTGTTTTTTTCGTAGGCACATAGCTTTTATTTTACATACTGAAGACAATTGGACAACAAAAATGCAACTGTGTATTTGTTGAAAATTTAATTGTCACTTGGCAAAGAATATTATTTTGACAGCTAATGTTACAATTATCCCTATACAAGTAAGAAATTTGAATATTCTAAAAAAACACCTTATATATACTTATATGTAGGAAATTGCGCGTAAAACTTTTATTAGCGCCTTCTACGCGCTCGTGACTGTGGTTAAAAAACTCGTCTAATTGTTTGGTGTGTGAAAATTCATTATTATGTATATTGATGCTTTGATTGAAGTGACACTTGGTCTTGGTTGATAACATTGAGTATTCATGCGAAACTTATGCTTATATAAGCTTACAAAGAGAGAATCTTCTTTGCTTAGTTGTCTGCTAGTTAATTAAAAGTGGCGCCAGCAGGATACTACTGTTTCGCGTTCCATTATAAAAATTATTATCTCGATAAATATCTTCCGTATGGTAGAACGCTTATAATATTACAATGCAGAGACTACTTTAAATTGTGATTTGTTGTCAAATCTGGGCGATTATGTAATAATTTGTTGTGTAAGAGATTTTTGCGCTGCTGAAGTGACAGAAAATATAGCTTATAGACCGGATATTAACGCAGATATATTTCAGTTACGTATATCCGAATGTCGGGAGAGCAGTGTACGCGTCTTAATGTGCGACATCTGCTATCGTCCGAACTTATTCCATTTTTCCTTGTTTCTATTATCTTGCTAAATATTTTGATTTTTAATTAATCTTATTAAAAATCTTACTACACACTACTTTTCACTGCATTTAGAATTCAGACTTTTCGATAATTTATTGTTATATTGTTGTGAAAATAGTTTGAAAAGTTCTAAATAGCATTTGCTAACATAAACGTCTTGAAAGTGAATAATTTTTCCGATTTTTGACCACATGTTATGAATTAAAGCGACAGCCAACAGAAAGTGACTCAAATTACGGTACTTAGGAATCATCGCTTTTAGTTGTTATCTTCCGATAGTGACATAGCCTGTCGAAATTTTTAAAACTTTTAATTCACTTGACGTATAAGCATTAGAAGCTGACCGATCCTCGACTCGCAACCGACTTAAGCATCTTCCAAAAACGATGTTACCGAAGTAGAACCGACGCTATTTCTCTATTTTAGCTGTTCAAGTTTTGCTTATACTGTTAAATAAAAAACCTATATTTACACCTATTTTAATACAGATTTTTGTTATCGCCTTCAAAACCTAATATTCCATACACTTGCCTTCGGCGAAATTTGCTTTTCTCGGTTGCGGCTCATTTTTGGAGCTCCATTAGCTAGATTGTTGGACAGTTTTGATGTCTGAGAATACGCTCACGTCTCGTCATCAGTAATGATACATATGAAAAATGTAGGATACCCAGCTACATTGTGAAGCATCTCTTTTGCGACCTTTACTCGAATTTGTTTTTATAAAATGATCAGGTCTTTTCTTACATAAAACATTAACCAAAATGTGTTGAGTCGATTCATAAAACAAGTTGAATTCCTCTAATATCTCTCTGATGCCGAAACGAGGATTTTCAAGCATTGTTTCTTCAACTTTTTCGTTGTTATCGTCAGAGATAGAAGACCGACTCGTATAAGCCAAGTTTTCGATGACTTCACGACCATCACTAAATGCCTCGTGCCACTCAAATACATCTGTTTATGATAAATTATACGCCCCAAAACACTTCCTCAAAATTTTCAATGATTCAATCTCAATTTTGTAGCCGTGATCTCATTGGAAACACATAGGTTACTACTAAGATCTGCCTTTCCAAATTTTACCCGAAAAATAACTCTTCACCTTGGTATAGTAAGTTTTTTTCGAAACTTGACCTCTACCATGAAAATTTATATTGCATTTGAGCATAATAAAAATAAATTTCTATGGCTTCAATTGTATTCAATGAAGTGGCTGTTGTCTGCAACAATTTTCAATGTGTTGGAAATGGGTCAAGGTGCTACATGACAGGAATAGTCAATATTCAATAGTTGTTGCACTAAGGACAATCGAGTGTATGACATTTGGTTTCCACTAATGAAGGTTAAGTTGTCATAATATATGTATGTATAAACCGTTTTACTAAAGAAATACATTTTGTTAAATTGTGAACCAGAGAAACTATTAAAAATGCTAATTACATGATTAATTATATGCAATTTTGTTTAATCTGCTCAATTGAAATGATAACCTTATTATACTACAAGTATAAATATATGTGTATAGTGACTCCTTAAAGTAATGAACATAATTTTCAGGGTTAATTAATTTCACAAAGTCACATTTCTTTTCCAATCTATTAACATTATGCTCACTTAATGAGAATTTTTAATTGAAAATTCATTCAGGCGCTTACATAATAATTATCACGTACCATCTAACGCTTTTCTACAGACACACACAACACAAACACTTACACACATTAACACATAAACAAGCAGTGCTTCTCTATTCTCCCTTTTCATTTTGCTTTCAGCTCTTTTCCATCGTTGTCTTTGGTTGCATTTCATCGGAGGGTTGGCGCACCGACGAGAATGGCAAGGAGGTGTGTCTGTATAATGGCGATGCCATGGCGTGCAAATATGGCAATACAATCGGTGTATTCGGTTTTCTGGCGTCGATGGCCTTCATCGTTGGTGAGTACCTGTTTGAGCGTATGTCATCGGTGAAAAGCAGGAAACGTTATGTGATGGCGGATATGGGATTCTCAGGTGAGTGAGAATTGATTTGACTTCGTTTTGAGAAAACTCAAACCAAGCAAACGTGATTTTTATTAAATAATCGCAATTTTAATGTTGTACCTTATTTTTAGCATTCTGGGCCTTCATGTACTTCATTTCGTTCGTGTACTTATGGTCACAATGGTCCTCTGCGCCTATGCCACCAGGTGGTGTTGGCTCTAGTAATATGGAAGCGGCAATATTTTTCTCTTTTTTCTCGATTTTTGTGTGGGTGAGTAAAGTATTGTAGATTTAATTAACTGCAAACAATTTTCCATAGTTTCGTTATATAGTGTTGTTTTTTTTTTGGTTTTTGTCAATGGATCGACCTTTTAACCTAATCTAACCCACATACGTAAAATACAGTTTGTTTTGATATCGAAATTTGGTTAGTCCCACCACCTTGACCTAAATCAGTTGTTTTCATTTGTAGTTTAAAGCTAGGTTCTATATGAGAATAATCCTGGCTCTGTTTCATATCTTCCGAGTTAGGGAAATGCCAGTTTATTTTTATTTTTCCCTGAGAGATATTCTTATCTCGCATATTACTTCATACTCTTTTATTTATCTAGTATATACATGGTTGTTATATATTTCATATTTTCTTCATTCAGGCACTTTGCGCTTTTCTCGCCTACAAACGCTTTCTGATCGGCGCCGGTGATGAATTCACATCCGCCTTTGAAACAGATCCAGCGAACGTAGTGCATCAGCAAGCATACACAAGCTATTCCATGGACAACGACAATGATCAATACAGCACGTCACCGTTTAGTGGCCAACAACAACAACAAGGTGAGATATTAATATATATATTCGAAGGTGGTCCAATTAGTATTTAGATATACCAACCGAAATTTCCTGTCGTGTGTTACATTCTCGTAGACGCTAAGTTCCAAATTTAGTGCCAAATCGCACTCGTAGTTATGTTTGGTTCTTATATCGAAGCGGGCTTGTACGCGAACTTTAGAAAAATAGCAAAAGAGCAATAACTCTCGGTGATTCGAGTCTTATTTTTTGAGTGAAATCGCGCACTGAAATCAGAGAGCGCTTGAATACGATAGCACTTCTGCCTTAATGCTGACCATTATAAATTTATTTAATGAATATTAACGTTGACTTATGTCGGTTTTAAGCACGGGAGTGGACTATTGGACTTCATCTGAAATTTTTAGAGCTCTTCGATGCCAGATTGTATAAAAAACGACCCATATTACCCATCTTATTTTCCTGATTTGACCCCATGCGACTTCTTTACGCTCCCAAACTTAAAAAAATGACTCGCCGCCCAGAAATCTGAGTCGAATGAGTATATCGCAACAGATCCCTACTTTACAGTCCTTCAAAAATCGTAGGTTTTAGACGGATTAAAGAAGTTGGAGCATTGGTCAAATGTATTGAGCTGCAATGGGACTATATTACGAAATATATCGAAATTTTTAAAAATTTATCGGACCATCCGTTTGATGCAAATATTTTGATTCATATTATTATTATTTTTTTTTGAAAATAGGTATGGAACAGCAAGGCATGGAATACCAACAGCCCACCTATTAAAGTCAGCGAGCTAATACTACGTGTACAACATTAGCATTATAATAGGCTAAGATATATAATATGAGCGCCATTAAAGCTCAGACAATTGGGCATTTGTGAGTTAAGTATGCTTTGCGCTGTACAGATTTAGCAGAACAAAAAAAATTTATTTATAAATAAAAATATGAACCGTAAACACCGATAATAAACATATACATACATGAATACATAAACATATTGAAATAGTAAAATACAATAAATATACATAACTTTATAAAAAATATTTGCTAAACGAATGACAAAAGACAGATATGCTCACAAACGCCATCAAGAAGCTGTAAAGCTCTGCTCATAACCAAAACAACGCACATTCAGAGGTGAAATTAGGCGCCAAGCTCCATTGGTAATTCAGTAAATTGCAATAATTTGATATATGAAACATGCAATTTTAAGGTTCGAGGAGTATAGTTAAGGATTTTTGACTTTACTTGTCAGTTCCGAGTACTCGAAATGCTGTATAAATCTGAAGTACTAATGGAATTGTCGTTAATGAACTTAAAAACGTTTGTGTATTGTATAATAAAATGGCATTACAGTAAGTACTCGATTGTTTGAACATATATAAATTTTCATGCCACTTTGCTTGATTTGTTTTCGTTGTTTTGTTTTTTTTAAATATGACAAAAAATTAAAAAGAAAAATTTAGTTTGCACCCAAATGAAAAATATATACTAAAAAATTTAAAAAATTAAAAGAAAACATTTTTTTTAATTAAAAGAAAACTTAAATTTTTTATATTATTTACTTTTATTAAATGAACTCATAAATAAACTTTTATATTATATTTTTAACAAAAAATTTTTTTTTAATAATTAAAAATTAATTTATTTATTCAACTTTAATAATTAAAAAAATTAATAATAAAAAATTTTTTTACTTAAATTTGAGATAGAATTTTTTTTTAAATTTTTTGTTACATAAAAAAAATTAATAATAAAAAAATTAACTCATCCTTATGTTGTAGTTATATATATTTGTCACTACTTTGAGAAACCGCATAACTTACCCAAATTTGTTCACATAAGCGAGTGGCTACTGTAATTGTTCTAAAAAAACCTTTTCGACTATGGATGTACGTACCATATTTGTTAAAAAAATATAAATAAATCAAATAAATTACAAAATTTGAATAAATAACGAAAAACTTGTTAGTAATTATGTAACTGTAATTACGTAAATTTTATAAGTGAATTTTGTGTCGCATTTAAATATTAAAATAGCTGTGCATCGTTGTATGTAGCGCGTAAAAATATTTAAAAAAAAGAGTACATAATATAAATATATTTGCAAAACAACAAAAAAAAAAAGAAAACCATAAAAGTTGTAAAATGCTTTGGCTTCAACTTTAGCAATGTTCGCGTAAGTGCAAAAACAAAAATCAAACTACAAAAAGCAAAGAATTGTTTTAATGAGAAGAAAAAAAAATATTTGTTAAAAAAGTTATAAAAAACGTAGCATAAAAGTACACTAATTAAAACCAATCACCGACTCGTACATACATACAGATACATATTTTTGCAGAGACAAATTGTTAGCTAATCCCTGGCTGATTATGTAAGCTTTGCATATAAACAAAGTATTTATACTGATACCATTAACTATGTACACGACCTTCATGTATACAAAATATAAGAAATAGTAGATAATGTGAGAAAAAGCAAAAAGTAAACGTTGACATATTTACATACAAAACGTATTGCTTGTTAACTAGACGAGTGACATAACACGAAAAGTCAAAAATTTCGTTGAAGTATCGTAGTGAAAAAACTATAACAGCTCTTTAAAGCTGGCGGAACTTCAAAACGCTAACACAACTTCGAAAACATACAATTTTTGTTTAAGAAACATTTTTTTTCACGTCAAATGACATTTTAGTACTCTTTCATTTATCACAGATAGGTTAAGACAACGGCTTCTGTCAAAAATATATTTTAATTCAAGTAGTTAGCAATTGAAACCAATCAATAACTACATTTAGTTTAACAACAAATATTGTAAACGCATTTTTGACATTTGAGTTGTTATACTTTGTTGTTGCTTTCACATGTCAATATTTTGACAAGAGAGCGGCGCGCAAATTTAGCGAACAATGTAGTGGTGAAACGAACGAATTTAGTGGTATTCTAATCTAGCGGCACGAATTTCGAGCGTCTCTTGTTAATTGATAAAAAAGCATTTGGTACATTTAATATCAATACTTTAATTAAAATTTTCAAAAAATAAAAAAATCACAATGAGGAGTAAGCGGGAGTAAAGCTTATATCCTCGTCCACACTATTTTACCCTTGTGCTCATTTGACAAATAAAACAAACCCTATAAGGTATATATATAAATGCTCAGCTCGATGAGCTGAGTCTATTAAGTCATGCCCGTCTCTCTGTCTGTCTGTCTGTATATATGCGAATTTGTTTCTCAGTTTTTGAGATATCGATACGAAATTTTGCGCACGTATTTTTCTCACCAAGAAGCTGCTCATTTGTCGGAACGGCCGATATCAGACCACTATAGCATATAGCTGCCATACAAACTAATATTTTAATATTCCTAGACAAGAATACCCTATAGCCCTATTACCTTTAACTATGTTTAAAATTTTATTATATAATGATTGATATTTTCGAGTTGTGACACCCTTCTAGCGAGCAAGCAAAATGTAGTTTTACAAATTAAGAATTGAAAATTCACAACTTATATCATGAATACATACATATGTCGTATACATATTTATACATACAAATTTAAGTCATTATATACACATTTATATATACATTGTTCATACATACATATATATTTATGTAAATATTTATATATGTACATAAAATAGCTTTGAAACGTAAATGACCGTTAAAGTAAAAAGTAGAAAAGTCATATATATCAAAATTATATTGTTTTGCATAAGTTGTTGTTTAGTTAATGTTGATTTATATAAGAATCTAATTTTAATGATTATTAAAAAATATATATATTAAATTAAATAATTATTAAAAACAATTTATTAAATTATTTATTAACATGGTATATTTATTATAGCACTAAATATAGTGTGACTTGCGTTGTCTTAAAAAATATATTAATTTTTATATTATTTACGACGACAGGACTAGAGTATGTCAGTACCATTTTAAGAAATGTCTAATATTAAAGAATTCAGCTTTTAGCAGATAGATTAGTACATCGATGTTGTTTTTAATAGTTAAGGTCGCAAATATTATATTATTTATAAAAAGTTGTATGTTAAGAATTTATTTTATTTATATATTACTATACAGTTTACTATTATTTTAAACAAATATTATTATTTTTTATTATACTATTTATTAATTAATAAATAATAATTTAAATCATTACAATTTTAATTAACTTATTATATATTTTGTACATATTTCTTAAATAAAAACATTTAATTTTTAAGTACTATGTTATTCACAAGATATAAAGGTAGTAATTTTTGAAGAGGTTAGGCGAGTTTTAAGCCTAACTTTGGCAGTTAATTTTGGGATTAAGGAAAGAGGAATCAAATTTTTCTCAAACTTTTTAAGCGGTTAGGCCAGTTTAGAGCCGTAAAAAAGGCATATATTTAACAATTTATTTTTGGATTAAAGAAATAGGAATTAAATTTAATAATAAATTAAAAACTTAAAACGGTAATCTTAATCTAGAGAAAACTTTTTTGTATAATATGTAACACATGTAAAAAACTAATTTTTTTCGAAAAAGCAGTAAATTGTTTATAAAAGTGTTGCAATATAGAAAAAAGTCGTGCTTACTTTACTAGATAATATTATTACGAAGCTATGTTTAAAATTCCAAGTACATACTTGCGATAGTCTACGAATATAACAGTCGCTTAGTAAAACAAACATATTTGAAAAAAACAGTGCTTAAAGTTTTACATGCTAAAGTCGATCCCAAAAACTTAGTAACTACACCAGATTGAAAAATATAAACAATTTTTACTATTCTCTATCGTTTCACTTGGTAGAATACAATTAAAACAACTTTAAGCGAAAAAAAATATTTTTTTCTGAAAGTTCTAGACTGACCCAACTCCTCAAGTACGCCAAATTCGTTTATGAATAAAAAATGCCTTTCTTAGATAAATTTTTTCCTTAAAAAGAAATGTTAAATTTTTATGAGCATCATTCTTTAATTAACATACATATATGTATAACTTTATAATATCCTTAACGGTATTATTTTCGCTATACGTTAACGAATTCAAATTATATACTTATAACCACTAACCAAGTTGTGGCACCATTATATAACCAATCGATCTTCACAAAATATATAAAATTCTTAAACTGTTCTAAATTTTCACCAATCTAACATATTTTCAGCAGATTCTGCTAATTTTTAGAAGTTTCCGCTAATTATTTGCCTTTTAAGACCTGCACTTGAAGCATTATCTCAAAGCACACAAAACTCATATATAGTATAATGAGTGATTCAATCGTTGAATAAAGATCATAAAAAATCTCTTGTTATTTATAACAATGCTTTGAGACATTATCTAACAGAAAGTAACTAAATTAGATTAAAAGGATTGTGCTATCGCGTTTTTGTTGATATATAACAACATACGATATTTTTATGACATTTTACTTATGACACAATCTCTCGTAAAAAATTGTTTTGATCCAATACCCAGCGAGTGCTGTGCAGTGTAATTTGATACTAACTTTCAATACTATCTAATGGAAAAAGCAGTTGAAATCATATTTAAAGATACAAGCTAAGCAAAAGTGTTTCCGTCTTTCATAGGAAAATAAAGAATTTCTATAGGCGAGAACTCAGTAATTGTACAAAGAAAGTTACAGATTCTTTCCCAGTTACAAAATTAATATATGGTCTCATAAACCGAATACGAATGAATCACATACTCATCTCTTAAGCTCTTTATGCATTCATTTTCAGCGAAATCTCTATAAATTTCTCATTATATTTTTATCATTACTGATCAGTATTTTTGCGCTCACCTTGTATGGATAAAGATTCGTTCATTTCATAATGATAAAAATGACAGTGATGCTAACTTTAACTATACAAATTACTTGTACTATATTTGTTTACTCTACAGTTTATAACATTATTGACAGCGTAGTATTTTCTGAGAATTGTTTTAAAAATTTAAGTAAATATGCCGAGAAATGTACACAGCAGTACTCTGTTATCATATGAAAATAAGAACTTCAAACAATTATTATTGTTATTATACCTATACACATGCATATACACAATAATTAGTAAAAAAAGAGTTGGGAACTTACGAAAGATTTTTTTGTTTTAGAGGCTTTGTGTAACGAAATTGTTATCAGTTTCCGCAAAGGGGTATAATTGAACTAAAATACACATATTTTGTAAAAGGCAAGCCTAATTTTTATGAGGAGTAAGCATCGAAAGCCTACATACGTTAGTCTCAGAAACTTTACTCGGTAATACCGCTCAGTTTCTCATCAGACTGCTTAGGCATTAAAGCTCTTACGATTGTGTTAGTTTTCACGTTTATAATTCCAACTCGTTCATGATCACCATAATGAAAAAAATGTGAAAACATGTACGTGTATCTGTATAAGAACTAGCTTTTTGATAAAAATCTGCAACGATGATAAACCCAGGCAGCCTATTTTTGGAACCTATCAAAAGAAACTAAGCATTTGATGGGTCAAACAAGTAATTTCGAAGACATACAGTAAGTCAGAAAACTTATGAAGGCAAATTTTTTATTCTATTGAAATGTCACACTTTTTTATGGCAAAAGTAATGAAGCAATAATAGCTTTAAAAAGCTTATAACAAATATGATTATTTTATTTATTATTAAAGCTTTCACTTGCCTAAAGAAAAGGCTGTGAAAGCACCATAATTTGATAGCTTTTTCCGATATATTTGAACGATTTTTCAACATTTTTATATGAAAACTTTCACAAAGCTAAGTCGCAAAAGCTTTTAGTTTTTAAAAAGCTGTGAAGACACATTAAGATAATGACCTTTTCCGATTTGTTTTTTAACATTTTTATAGGAAAGCGCTTACTAAGCTAAACATAAAGCCGCGAAAGCTTACTGATTTTATGACTTTTCGCAATACATAATAAAAAATATTAAAGCTTTCATCTTTTTCTGCAATGCATAATAAAAAAGATGAAAGCTTTCAGTGTTATAACAACAAAAGCTCTAAAGGCACATTAAATTGATGACTTTTCTCGACATAATTGATACGTTTTTTAACATTTGTATATGAAAGCGCGCACTAAGCTAAACATAAAGCCGTGAAAGCTTACTGATTTTAAGATTTTTCGCAATACATAATAAAAAAGATGAAAGATTTCGCTGTCATAACAACAAAAGCTCTAAAGACACATTAAATTGGTGACTTTTTCGATATATTTGATAGTTTTTTTTTCACTTTTGTATATGTAAGCTTTCACTAAGCTATGTCGTGAAAGCTTATTGATTATATGACTTTTCTTAATTTTTAGAGTTTTCTAATGATTTCTACTTGTATATAAGAAATATCAGTATTTTTTCCAGTTCACACTGCTGATTTCGATATTGCATACATTATTTTAGCGCATTAATATTAAATTCCTCTAAACTTCAAGGCATTTTGTTTTATTGTATATGTAAATTATACAAATTTTTCGATGCAGTAAAGCTCGGTTATCTTCATTTAGTTTTTTTGCCAAAACACATTTGAAGCCATAATTTCACACTAATCGTAGTTTAAGTTTTACATACACATATATACATATATACATACTTACATAGATAAGTATGTATAGTTACTACTGTAGTTTCTTGTATTTACTTGTAGTAGATGTGCGTTCCAACATTAGATCAAATATACATACATACATATATTTATAAAAGAAAATGTAATGCGAAAAAAGTTCACCCAAAACTAAAAGCGAACTAATAACAACTATGAAATTTCCAAAAACAAAGTAACTATTTAGAAACAATACTGATGAACATAATAGAAAACTTTAAACACCATAAAAATACATACATAAATGTATTATATATATATATATATAAATACAAAATATAACTGAGCGTAAAATATTATAGTAAATTATATGAAATTGTAAATTTTTCGCTGAATGACAAGTACTCACGCATACATTTATAAATACTTTAGTATTGTAAAATTATATTTGTTCAGTTGATATTATTATTGCATATACGAGAATAAAGAATATATAAAAGATAAATTGGTGAAATTGAAAAAAATAACGGTACTTTTAATGAGAAAATTTGGAATTTGGGAAGAGAATAGAGCACTTTTGAGGAGCATGCCGAGGAATTAACCAAACAAACATTAGATTCGGTTAGTCAAAACTTTTTGCAATCTTTTTGTTGCATTGATTTCAATTTTTTTTATTTATTAGAGTGTTTTCGTTTGTCTTGTATATTCTGAGAAAATCTACTATAATAATGTAAATTTTTGACACTATCAGAGAGTAGAGATTTAGAAAATTGAAGGATTTCTTAAATGAATTTGTAAAAGATAGAAATATAAATCAAAAAACTTGGTTATGTTATTTTCACACATAAATTTATGTGCCTTATAAGTTTTCTCAATAGAAGGTTGGTTCTAGTAATAATCACAAAAAATTGTAAGTAATCACTTCGCAAAATTTCACACCAGAGCTATCTCCAGGTAGCATTTTCTTGTCTCTCAATATTGTAAGAATTGTATGCACTGGACGAAGCTGCTGCAGCTGAATGAAAGGTGTATTTGCTTCTGCATTGAAGCTTCAAAACTCAAAGGACTTTAGTTTCAGGCTTTTCCATCACTACAATGTTTGTCTAACAGAGATATTTACCTCGAAATTCAGCCTTTCTGGTAAGTGAGCGATGTCACCGAAATTAGGGTAGATATATATTAGTTTTGAGCTCATCGATCTTGCGCTACAAACTAGTTAGTTAGATAACTCTTACATCAGCATCTCGAAACGCTGTCTTACAGCGAAAAACTTCCATGTTTTATTATTACCAGTTTAGTGTTGAGGGTTATGTTATGCTTCGGTGGTGTAATATTGTATCGTTCACTAGCTTCTGCTTTCCTAGGAATGAATCTTAGCAAATCCAGTGAGCAATTAATTTTACTCTAATAATTAATAAAATAATATATAATATAAAAAAATAAATAAAAATCAATTATCGCGTAATGCTAATAATTTTTTCCATTTACCACCAAAGGTGGCTGAAAAACCTGAAATTCAATTTAAGGTGGTAGGTATTCTATTCCGTATAAACTTGACTACTACTTTATTTGATACGGTCGTCACGATATCATCGATTTATTTGAATTTTTAAATGGCCACTTTATTGTATGAACTAACAAAAAAATAAAATTTCAAATTTATAAAAAAAAAAAAAATCGAAAGAGTTACAAAAAAAGTTGTGAAAAAATCGGCTTTTATTTTTATGTTGACTCCATTTTATGAAAAATTAAAAAAAGAAAAAGCTTTGACTTCGGCCACACTGAAGCTATAATATCCTTCACAGCTTCGGTAAAAATATCAACTATTTTTATTTTACAAAAAAACGCTGAAATATCCCATTGATATTATATTACATAATAAACAATCTCGTTCATATATCAATCATAAATGTTTATTCATGTTTATTTATTGCATAAACACTCTAGAATAATTATAGGCTTACTTAGTAGGTTTCTAGCTAGCCCGACATACACTACAATACTGATCTATAGACTTGAAATTATACTGTTGTTATCTCTACTGCCAGTATGCAGCCAGCGGAGAAATTCTTCATGACTCATGTCGGCAAACTGATTAATGCCCATCTCAAAAGTCACTTCACCCCTCTTATAACGCTCATTGTGGGCATCTATCATGCGTAAGTTTTTGCAAAATATTATGCGACGGTGAGCGTCTTCGAGCTTCGTATTGTATTGCTTGTTGTATTCAATCTGTAGCGAAAGTAAAACATATAAAGATAAAAGAACAAAATCTCTCGAGTTCTCTGCGAACCTTGTATAGGTGCCATCTTTGAGTGCTGCATTCGTCCTCTACACAGAATTTGCTGTAAGTCGCAACTATCATTAAAAGAAGAAGCAGCAGTGCGCGCTTGAAGTGTGTCGAGTTGAAGAAAGCGCACATTTTGTTCTTGGACTCGTGTCTTGTACGGTAGGTTATGAAATACTTGACGCCTATCAACGGCGCGTTGATTTATACTACACCTCAAGCTCTGTTTAGTAGGTCTAAGCGGTGATTATGTGTCCGTCGTATATTGGCACATATATCGGCAAATATAGGCATACATATGTGTGGGTGTGTATACATGTGCACTTGGGGTCCATGCACGCGTTTCAGATAACCGTTCAAAGCATCCATTTTTTTTTTTTAAATTAAATTTCCTTTAAAAAAGTAGGAAACATGATAATGACTTTCAAAGAATATATTGCATTGATGAAAGTATTTAACATTTAACACGATCTATTCCTCATTAGCGTATAGATATTGTTATGGCGTTTGCATTTAATTAAACTCTAATTGATTTCGAAAATATTTCAGCGGCGATAGAGCGCAAGCTCGCATGGTCGTCCGTTTTGATGACATTTAAAAATATACGTCTGCCTGTCTGTCTGTATATACGGGACTAGAGGTAAGTTTTTGAGTTATCGATCTGAAATTTTGCACACGTCCGTTTCTCTTCAAGAGGCTGAACATTTATCGGAACCGCCGCTATTAGATCGCTATAGGATATAGCTGCCATATAGACTGACTGATCCAAATTAAGTTCTTGCATGAAAAACTTTTTGATTTGACAAGATATCTTCACCATATTGGAAACAGATTATTGTTCAAGGCAGCACCAAAATATTTGAACAACTTGTTCAGCTTGGTTCATTATGGGGTTGCATGGGTTTCATCGAGCAAAAAACAACATATTTTCAATAATTTTTTTTTCATATAAATAAGGAAATATTTTATTTAAACTTTTTATTATTCTAAAAATATATACTTTAATATGATTTTGTGAAATTTTCAAGAAATCTTGTCAACTAACTTTAAAAACACAATTTCGAGTAAAACGCATTTAAAATTTTAAGTGACTATAAACACAGCTGAACTCGTGCGCGCAATATTTCAAGCCTCTCCAAAACTATTACTGGGATCAACTAGAGCTTTTCGGACAATATTCTAGAGATGTTATAGAATTAAATAAGATATATATAATAAAACAATAAAAAAACTGACCCATCCAAGTCAGGTTCTGTATCAAAAACTTTTTGATTTGACAAGAAATCGTCAGGAAACTTTGCATATATTATTTATAAAGGAATCGCTATAATCTTCGAATAAATTATTCAGATTGAAACACTATACCATATAGCTGCCATACAAACTGATCGATCAATATTAAGCCAAGAATGTCTTATACCCTTTTTAGTTAGTTAAGTAGCAACAAACCAGAGATGCCCAACTCTCATGTTATTGGAATTGAGAGCTCAAACCATGGCTATAATGAAATATGCAAAAATATTCATAAAAAACGGTAAATTATTTACTGTGCAGTAAATTGACAGTTGCAAATTTGTGATGATCTTGATGATAAGTAACTAATAAGACAACTCGCTCTCTTTAATAACAAAAACAAAATGATGAAAAACAATAATCACCCTTGAACTTATGAAATATGAATATAATTAATTTGATATAGCCTAATTTAATAATAATAAAGTTGATAAGTTTGAAATATTCAAGAGATCAATAACATATGCCATGTGTGGGCCAAAAGCCTTTGTATTGCTTTTGAGATCAGTGTGTTATCGCTAAATTATACATTATTTTTTTAAATATTTGCTGCTATGCGCTTATTAAATTGCTAATTAACAGTACGAGTCTACAAAATTCGCAAATAACTCACATGGCAACCACAACAAATGAAGACAGCAACAATAGTATGCAAATTAGACAAATGCCAGATGCGATAAACTGAGCAAATGTTTTTTAAATTTACTGCCTTCCTTTGGCCTTTACCTTTCGTATCACAATATGTCACACATAATAAATAAAGCAGCTTTTTTAAAATAATCTCATTTTATTTAGAATTAAAATAAATATCAGTATAAACATAACAATATTTTTTACTAAACTTATATTAGAATTTTGCTAGAAATTCTTTCAATGCATTTAACAATATAATACTATCTTTAGTATAAATACATACCGCCTCAAATATTTTTCACTTCAACTACACCTACAATATGGGATAACTGCATTCGCTCGCAATGCCACAAAAACTATTCGCATTTCGCAGTAGACGCATAAAACCGCCTTCGCCCCAATTCTCTGAATACGAATTCTTAATTATCCAATAGTCGCGGCCATTTTCGGTGCCATAACCGACCACCACAACCGAATGATTAACCTCTTCCTGATTGCATTCATTATCATCATATATGCCGCCCATGTATTGTTCAAACGATATAGGCGAACCGTTGATAGAGCACGCTAACGGTCCCAGCGTTGCAATGACTTCTTTCATTTTCTCCTCATCGCCGGGTTTAATGCGCGCATAGTCACGTATTTGTACACCCTTTCCCGTATCGTTGCGATGACACTGTGCATTCTCTATTTCTGTGTATGGATAATTATTCGCTATCGAGATGCCGTGATCGCGTATATATTCGAAACCATACTCTTGAAAACCACCATTACAGCCCATATTACCATACTCATCGGCACAATCGACGAGATTCTGTTGGGAGAGCGGCACTAGTATGCCGGTGCGACGAAAGAGATGTCCCTCAAGTGCGGCAGCCGTGGCGAAGGACCAACACGAGCCACAGTCGAAACCTTGAAAGCCGGGCGGTGTGACACCACCTCTTTCGCGCCAATCAAATGAGTCTGGGAGGTTTTGTAGATTTGCCTTTGCAGTGACGAAATTGGTGTGCTTAGAGGTGATTTCTCTGCAATTAAATGTAGCTAAATGTTAAGCTGATCGTAATTTCAGCAATCTAATAATTGATATTAATTTATGGGGATTTCCCTTTAACTAGTCTAAATAGTGAAAATTTAGAAGTTCAGCCTCGATTTTATAGCCAGTGAGTAGCAATACGCAAATGAAAAACCCAACCGCAAAACTAAGCTATTTTTATTTATAATCGATGCCCGAATTCCGTAATACACAATTACTCATCAAAGTGTTCTCGAAATTAGTCAATGAATATGGGAAATAATTAAATTTTAATGCTTAATAACATCAAATATGGTATACACTAACGTTATGTATAGCCAAATTGTTTAATTAAGATATTTAAAGAGAATACAGGTGTGTACTAGATAAGTAAGTAAGTCTATTTTTAGACGAAGAAGAAGAGTATAATTAGCACATTGTAGGAATGTATAGAATGTGAAAAATTTAGAGAGATCTGCTCAAATTTACTAGTAACAAGTAAGGAAGTGCTAAATTCGAACAGAGTTCAATATTATATACTCGCAAGTTGAAGTTATTAAAAAAATAATATTTATATTACGCAGTAAAATGAATAGTAGCTATTGGGGAACGTTAATAACTAGCTGAAAATTCCTAAGAAATATCGCATAATTGTTGCAGACGACGCAGCGTTCATTATAAAGGCGTTGTAATCAACTAGGCGGTCATTAACCCAAGTAAAACATAACTAGTGCTATTCACTAGGAGATACTAAATTGCCTAACTAACTAGAGTTGGTACTCCCTGAAGGTGAGGGGCACCGAGCTGTTTACCTCAATATCAACAGAATGGGAAAGAGTCGGTTCACCACTGTCTTGCGGATGGTCTCAACAGATGGTTTGGCTTTATGTGATCGTGGGGAGCATTGGTCTAATAATAGTAGTTGTGGAGTGGCAAGGTCCTTTTAGTTCAAAGTAAGTCGTAAGAGGTCTAATGAACTATTCACACTAAGCAAAGTCTGTATTTCCCCAGTTGTAAGTGACTGGTTATATTTTCGGCATAAACGACCACGCGATAAGTTTGGAAGAAGATAAAGTAGAAACTCAGCAATTTTATCTTGATTGTGGCGCCTCTATGAGATCAAGTCTAAAACCTCATGGACCTCACAGCTTCAGATAAACAAGATAGGATAAACAAGATAGAATCAAAATACCTAGATTGCTTAGGCAGTTTAGTGCGGCGTTTAAGGCATTAAAGAGTCAATTGGTTAGTATTTGTGATTAAGAGCTTTTCAGGCAATGTAAAGCACTTGTGTTTAGCTATTCAAGGGTGAGCCCCATCTAAATAGAATCAAACCTAACGACTGGGCACTGTAATTTTTAGTGACTTCGGAAGGTAATTTTGTTCAATTTTAATTAAAGGTATATTTTGTCTTTGACATTTTTTTTATACATCTCCGCGCTTAAGTCGAAGAAATTGTTTGATTGACTCTTTTTCTTAACAAGATTTATATTTTACTTACTCTCCAATAAATGTGATTCTTGATGCCGTCAATCTGCCAACTTCCCGACGCGTCAAATCCGCCAAAGGATTAATGGCTAAACGGAATGAACTCAATCCGGAGGCAGCATATTTATTCGTCAAATCAACAAGCGATTTTTTAGCAATAAATATCGATTCCCGATATTGGCGCTCTCTATCGTCATTATAAATTTTTCCCGTTTGTGTCAAATAATCGTCATAATTTTGTACATCACACAATTTGTTGAATGTTTGCTGTGCCAATGTGGGCGCTAGCCGAATGACGAAGCAATACAATATTGCCGGTAATAGATGAGGTAATAAACGTGTGGTGAACATTTTTTGTATCAGCTATTTCTGTAAAAAGTTGAGGCGTGGAAGTTTCAATTAAAAAAGAACAATAATGTAGGCTCATAAAAATACTGTGTCATAAAATTAGTCGTAAGCTAAGTATATTAACGTTGGCAAATAGTCTGCATTAATAAAGAAATATACTTGAAGCGTGGAAGTGCTAAACTTGCTAAGTTTGCTATTATGTTGTATTTGTACATACTATTTAACTAAGCTGGTAACCTAGAAGTCAGTTGTAAAGTTTGCGGTAATAAGGAACACAAACAAAGGTAAAGCAACGAGAAATGAATTAATATTCACATTGTTACCTATATCTGTAAATTAGAATGGTATGTATGTATGCGCGAGACGCCTGTCAATTGTGATGGCCAGTACTCATAGATATAAATAAAAATAAATAAAAAAGACCGTCACATATCGCCAAAACTCCTAAAGCCTGCCACAAATTTATGCAGACAGCTAATTCACCGGGTTCGTAAAATGTATAGCAACGGAGATGCTTCGAACTTAGTCTGGCGAAAGCTGGACAGTGGAGGAGAAAGTGTCTAGATGTTTCCACTTCATCTTCATTGTAATTTTTAGCCTCATCGCGTGATTGCCAATAGTACAGTTTCCAGTTAGAACGCCTATTATTGCGGCGGTATGAGCCTTGCTAAGAGCTATTCAATGCACCTTTTACTGAAGTTGCTATTTCAACACAAAGTATTATGTAAAGGAAATAAGTAACAGCGCTAAAAAAATATTTCTCAAAAATTAAAATTCTTAAAATAAACAAAGACTCTTTCTAATTATCTGACCACCAGTGTACTTGTATATTGCCCTTGCCTATAAACACGACATCTCTTTTACACTTGTTCAGAGTATTAGTCAGTATTCAAATTAAGTAATTATTTTTATTAATTCCACATTTTGCTTGGCTCTTAGTGTAGGCTGCTCCATACATTGTTTATAATCATACGTTATTTTGACAATGATAGTTAAAAATTTTGATAGAAATCCAAAATGATATTTTCGCGAAAAAAAATTAATTGCTTTGTGCTGAAAAATTTGAAAATTATTTGAAAAATGTTTTCAAATTGTTTTGTTTGATATTTATTATTTTCTAGCGAACGAGCGAAATATGTTGAAATATTTTCATATTCTATATTTGAGGATAGTATAATTCGTGCGGGAAGCTATTGTTATCTTCAGGGAGTAAAAAGTAGATGCAAACATCAGCTAAGCTAATCTAGAGATGCAGGCTAATGATTTTAAGAAACAACAAAGCTTGATTAATAGGATGCAAAAATTATTAAATTCGTTTTATAAATATTTATATTTGAATACACTGATAATATATTATGTTGAAATTGACCTTAAAAAAATTTTATAAATATTTTATGTTGATATTCGGCACTTGGCGGTAAATGAGCGAGGAACGAATTGCTTCTTCAATTGGTAGAAATCACAAAATCATTGGGTCATCAATAATATATACTTGCAGGGAGTCGACACTAGTCAGAGATGCTGAGCGAACCGCTTGATCTACATCTTAAGATAAAGTTCAGAATATCTAACTATTAGCCTCTTATATACATCGATAGCTTTTGTAAGTCATACTTAAAAACCCTCAATTAAAAAGCAAAGCAAAATACATATATAAAATTTAGAAAAAGATTAGAAATACTCTAACAATTTCTAGTAGTGATTGTTCGTCAACAGGCAATTTGAATAAACCGACAGCACCAAGATTTTCTTTGTAACAAAACTGGCACTGTCGAAGCAATATGCGTTTGAAAACATTATATGGACCATCTACACAAACCTTAAGTAATTGACAACTTTTTAACGTTTTTTAAAATTTTTTTTTAAGACCGTCGTACAAATTAAAAAAATCCACTCGAAGAACAAAAACGTGGAAATGGTAAACGCGCAACTTCAATACATTTTAAAGCACCAAAACGCCTGCAGTGGCAATTTAGGGTCACGCTGTTTACATTAAAGAGCACTTTGAAAAGTGAAAGGAAGTCAGAAATACATGAACACACTTGCGCATACGTGCAAACATATTCAAATTAATAATTTTTTATAATTTCTTAATACAACCGAATACAGAATCGTGTTGTGATAATGAAAGAGAAATAGGCGGCATTTTGAAGCATCTGCACTCCCGCCTACATACAAACATACGTAGGTCTGTTATTATTTGTGCCACTTGTGTCATTTCCTGCGCTGCAACAGTCAAATTACTGCTCTTACGGTAAATTTTTTATCCGATCACTAATTATAAAATCGTAGAAAGGTGAAATTTTTCTGCATAATCATTTTGAGTTGAGACAAACAAAAGCAACAATCATAAAACTCATCCAAGGCATCAATACCATAAAAGCAATACAAATAATAAACAAAACATAAATCAACTGTACATACATACAAGTATATTTCATACAGTTGTCTGTCAACTTCATAACTCAACTCAGCTTAGACATGGGTGTGCATATCGTTGAGGAATGACGGGTGAAATGAAGCAACTAGTTGGAGGTTTATGTAATTTCGGCTTGTAAAGTGATTTGTTAGCGGTCAAAATTGCCGGCTGAACTTGTGCATAGCCTTAACAGCGAGTATTTTGATATTTTCGAGCCGATAGAAACTTAAGAGAACAGCGAAACGAAACTTTCGACTTTACGAAATTTCAAACCATGTATTATATTTGGGAACTCTTAAATTATGTTGTCTGGCTTTGAAGTCTTACAATTTGATTTTACAATTTTTATACTGCTGTCTTAAAAACACTAGGAGTAAGAAAAAATCACATTGCTCTTTTGAGTAAATAAAAAAATGTATATATATATATATATATATATCTTTCGATTCGTCTTTTTCCTCCTAGGGGCGATTGGGATTCTACAAATACGTGCTACCTAAACCAAAATAAAAAAGCTGAATCATTATATATTTTTTTCAAAAATGACGAACTTGCAAGAAAACGGTATAAATTTTCACCAAAAAAAGTTAAGCAATAAATTGTTTATAAAACTTAGTATGTTAAAAAATATCGTACGTAGTTTACTAGATAATGTCATTGTGTAGCTACAGCTAAAATTTCAGGTGAACACGTGTGATATCCTCCGACTATATACCAGTCTAGAGAAAGAAGTGTTTGAAATTTTAGGTGCTGAAGCTGACTGATTCGAAGGCTTTGGCATTATAACGGAGGCTAACACTATAAGAGAGAAACAATTTTTGTCACTATTCTATTAAGAGAATAATGTTTTTAAAAGGTTGTCTATTTTAAGCCGAAAAACAATAATCAAATTTTTTGAAGATCCTAGTGAGGTCTAATTATTAAGGCAACTTTGGTTATTACTCCTTAAGGGCTTAAAGCTATACATATTATTAAGTATCATAGCTATGTCAGAATTGCAATGCTTGAATTACAACCTTCAAATAAACTTAGTTACAAACAAAGCATCTTCATATATAATATTTAGGTTACTGCAGGCAAGAGATATTTTTACAGAATGGCGTTTGTATTGTACATAACCCAATGATATTCCGTTATAATAACAAATTGAGTAAAGTGATATTTCGAAAAAAATCTGGGTTAAAAAATACGAAAGATGCCGAAAGTTGCCGAAAGCGCATCCATCTAACAATAATAGCATTTTACTATAATTCCATGAAACTCTCACAGCTAGAGATTCTCTTGAAAAACTATTTCACGCTAGACCTATACTTAGTATTTACACTTCTTTAAAAAGCGTGAAATAGGTTAATAGCCCGTGTTTTTTAAGTGGGCGCGGATTTCAAAACCATGTTTTATTTAATTTTTTTTAAAATTATTTTTTTTATAAATACTCTTGACTTTGAGAGATGTATCAACATGTAATTAAATTTTTATGTAGCGACGCTACCCGATTCATCGATAAACTGAAGCGATTTGTCACTCGTTGGGAATAGAGGCACGCACATACACGTAATAAAGGATGTAAGCATCAATTATACTATACGCAAAACTTATTTTTTTCGAGAGATTGAGCCTTAATAAAAAAATTAATTTCTTCGTTTTTCGAAGTTAAAGTAGAAAATCTAAATATTTGCCTTCGAATTTTGAAATTGAACTTCAATGGCTCAAATAAATTTTCGATCAACCATAACATATACGAGTATGTATGACATTTTGAAATATAAAAACTTTATTTTTTCATTTTTTTCTAGAGACCAAGTAAAAAAGGAAATTTTTCGTGATTCGTAGTTAACTTTAAAATTCTAAATATTTGATTTCGAAATTGAATTTCAATGGCGCAAATCATTTTTCGGCCCACCTTATCTGTTATAAGGTTTGAAAATTGTGCGAGTATTTTTGTAATATAAAACTTTTATTTTCTAATTTTGACTCCTTGACAGAAAAATGTTATACACCATTGCAATGAGAGGAAAGATTGTGGCCACATTTTTGAAAGTTTTTTTAAATTTTTATTTAATGTTTTTGTTTTGTAATGAAATGTTAATAGTTAACTTAGAAACATTTAAAATAATTTTTTTTTTGCATTTTTTGCATAAGTGAATAGAAAATGGTTTTGGAATCCATAACCAAAAAATTTCAATCAGTCTCGCCTTATTGATCTTAATGCTATAAGCATCCTTCGTAAATTTTAAATTTTTTTTCACTCATCACCGTCAATTGTTTGTATACTCCCCACTTTATTCATAAAAAAGTTTCCAAAAAATCCCAAATTTTTCACAAATGACCATCAACACTTTGTTATATATAAGTAATATTTCATATATGCTATTTCGCACCTGCACCAACACCGTTGTAATTATTGATTTGATTTTTGCTTGCTGTTCGCTGCGACCGCTTTGTTTTCGGCACACTTCCGGTAATACAGTTAAAAAATGCAAATAGTAAGAGATTTCCGGTTTATGTTAAAAAAATCCCTCAACAGCGATTACTTAATCTCACTCTTATTTACCAGCGTGAATGCATTTGCTTTTATTACAAGTTTTAAATAATTTCACACAGTTGCGCGCCAAACCGTTGCACCGTCCGTCAGCACCCAGCGCTGAAGTCGAAATAAACCGATTTTAAAGTTTGAAAATGTTTTTATAACAACACCAACGTTTGATTCAATCTTCGATTTGGTTGGTATGCCGGCGCGTGTTGGATTGCCCCGCACGAAAATCTGTACAATCATATATGTGTGTATGTATGAATACAGACACATGTTGGTATGTGTGTTCTGAGTATGCTTAACAACATTTCTATTATGTGCTTACGTATGTGTGCGGGTAAAGGGTTTCCCAACGGATCTGTCGCATCTCATGACTCATACATATGTGTTTTTTATTCATTACAATTTTATAACAAAATTACAACAATTAACAAATTACTCCAAATATAGAATAGTGCAAGATACATACATATATGTATGTATGTTCAGTCAGTAATGCAGTAAGTTAAAAAAAAAACCAAGCAAAAACGTTAACTTTGGTTGCACCGAAACTATAATACTCTACACAAATATAAAAGGCTTCTTACAAGAACTTTGATCGGCCAGTTTGTATGGCAGCTATATGCTATAGATACTCGATATGAACAATTTCTTCGTAGATTGTACCGTTGCCTTAAACAATAACCGATGCAAAATTTCGTGAAAATATCTCCTCAAATGAAAAAGTTTGCCATACAAGCGCTTGGTTCCGAACGTTCAGCTTGTATGGTAGCTATATGCTATAGTGATCCGATATACGTCGTTCCGACAAATGAGCAGCTTCTTGGTGAGAAAAAGACGGGAGCAATATTTCAGATTAGTATCTCAAAAACTGAGGGACTAGTTCGCGTATATACAGACGGATGGACAGACAGACTTTGCTGCATCGACTCGACTCGTCACGCTGATAATATATTATATATAGATATAACATATACTTTATAGGGTCACTGATTTTTCCATTTGGATATTACAAACATTGTGGCAAACATATTCCGGAAGCTCAATTGTACGTATACAGGGTGCGTTTTGAGATTGTAGATTGAATAATGTCATATTTTCCTTCGGAGCAAAAAATGCAGTCTATGGAGATCGAGTCGAGTCAAGGGTTAAGGCCAGGCCTACAAAAAAAATAAATGTTTCTGTTTCAAAAGTACTGTAATTATGATGTTTTTTGTAAGCTCAATTTTGAAATTTTAAGGCGAATATCTCAATTGTGAAAACTAGCTTCTAAAGAGAGAGAACTAAAAACTCTAGAATTAAATCTATCGAAAAAAACTGATTTGGTCCAATAGCCAGAAAAAAGGCGATTTTGCCGTCAGTGTTATGTCCAATTAGTATTTTCGATAAGAGAAAATTACGTTTCGAAACAAAAAGTTTTCGAACGGACCTAAAAATATAAAAACGATCATGATAATGTCGATTATTGATAAAATATCGAACATAACAAAATTAATAAAAGTACTCTACTTCTAGTCATCTTCGTTTCGCCACTTCTCTTTTGGACACCAATCGATGTTTATATTACCAACATAATAATAGTGATATTTAGTAGCATTAATGATATATAAATTGCATTGTTGGCTGTTCTATTTTAATAATTTGTTTCATAACATTAACCAAATATGAAAATATTTTTCATTTAATATAACAAACATAGAACGTCACACAGTCATAATTTTCATTTTCTATAAGAGTCGTTCATTATTTATCTGTAGCTGCTCTCAATAACACTAATGCGACACCCTATATACACAGCAATGTTATTTAACCTCCCAGCATCATTAATGATCCAATTTAAAGACACAATGCTTGGAAAAAAATTAAAGCGAAAGTAAATATTTAAGTGAGTTGTTCACTTGTTTACTCATTTGTATTAGAGCATGTTTGTGTTATAAGCACTATTTTTTCATTCAAATAATTATTTTACCATATGAATGATTTCCCATTATTGGCTTGGATTTCGTTTTATATTTCTGCCCATTGCAATATTTCGATGGAATGCGAAAAATTTCCTTGTTATTGTTGTTATGATTTGCAAAAATCACCGATGAGCAACAAAACTATTAATATTTATTAAAAACAAATGTGCTTGCTGAAATCGCAGGGTACGTTCAGTGTGAACGCCGATGAAAATTTAATTCATATTTACATTTCAATTTTTTACTGTCCAAAGTTAGTCATAAGGCAGCCTTTTAAGTTGCCGCACCACTACCGTATATATCAAGAAGAGGTCTTCGCTATTACCAGCAACCAATTCCGGAGTTAACATCTACGTGGACAGCTACGCAGCAATCAAGGCTTTAACCTCGTTTCGCATATTGGCCAGACGTGTCTTGGTAGGGTAGCAGTAGAGAGTGCCACCAGAAGTAAGCGATTTTACTTCTACTGGGTGCCTGGTCACAAAGGACATGGAGATAGTGGACAAGATTGCCAAGAGTGGTGTACGGCTGACAACCGAAAACGTGTTGACATTGGAAAACGCATGTAGTGTTTATACGATGATCTGGATAAAAGTATGGTAAGGAAAATCAAAAGGCGATGGAACGATCTACCTAGGTGCAAAACTGCAAAAGCCATGTATAAAACGGTAGATCGGAAGTATACAAAATTCCTACTGGCACTCGATAGAAGGGACTATAGGAACATGAACGAAATACGAAATTTAAGCATTTGGGGGCTCCACGATATGATGCTTTGGAAGTGATATCGATAGTGTGACCACAGAGTCTATTGAAATTGGCGTCAAGCGCAGGCATACTAAAGGATAACTACTCCTCATGGACCTCGTAACTGAACTCCATATGGTAAGGCAAAGGGCCAAAACTGGTCTATGAGTGGCTAAGTAGCCTACCAGACTAACTTAAACTAGCATCTATTTTATTTCATAAGTCCACAGATGGCGCCAGGGTCGATGTATCTCAAAAATTAAAGTATAATATGTGTACAACTCAATTTCTTTTCACTACAATGAGACAAAATATTGAAATGACAATAAGCTGTCAAATTCAACTGCGGTGACATTCAATTAAGAATTTTAAAAAATTGAGTTTCTATAAGTAACTTTCATATATATATATATATATATATATATACTTGTATATAAGTAATTTGCATATATATATATAATATATATGAGAGAATATTCTTAAAAAATTTGAAGCTCATCCGGCAAATAGTTAAAGCGGAAAAATCTTCCTCACCTCCAGACACCTATTTTCGAAAGTCCTTCTGGAGATAGGCTATGGTATCAGGAGAATAAAATTTTTTAAAATGAACTACCGATTAAGTATTAAAGTACATTAAATTCTTATAATTATTTAAGGTACTCTAATAAAAAGTTTTTATTTCCCGCTACTCTATCATTTAATTTTATTCGAAACCGTGTTATGAGGTGTTTCCACCAAGGTTTATTGTATGATATAACAGTTATAAAACCTTACATTCATATCTACCGAGAAATTTGCATTTAATTACACATATGTATAAACATACATATGTTTATTTCTTATGGTAATTTATTGAATGGTCAACTTATTGAATGATCGGCGGCTAATGGTCAACAGCTAGCAGCTAGCTTACTATTGAATTAATCATACCAAATAGATTTCATTGAATTAAGTCAGTCAAAGACAACTGTTTGTTTCTTTTAATGCTCGTCTCTTTCAATTTGTGTCGTGGAATTTGCCTTCGTTTAAGTTGACATTTGCATAAATTTCTTTTAGTGAAGCAAATGTTAAATATGATAATTGTTCGACAACAAAAAACAAAAAAAAAAAAAAATACGAATATTAATAAATGTTATTGCATGGAAAAGCAATTAAAAGGCTGTTATTTGTGTATTATTGCTTTATTACAGAAAGTGATAGTTTTAGATTTATGATGCCGGCGGAACTAGATATTTTTTCTTATTATCAGATAGAAAACTTCATATCTCGTTTCCAACGAACTGAAAAAATATATAGTTTTATATTTTGTGTTGAAAATTGAATGCTCTACAAAAAAGGTATATTACGTATTTTTTTGTAAACCTAACCGTTTTAAAGATATTAACGGTTGAAGTTTGGTTATTTTAATGCAATTTGTTTTTCTTATGAATTTTCTAACTCAATGCAAGAAAATATATAATTTTAAATTGCAAAACTCATTGTTTTGTAGAAAATTTATTGCTCTTCAAAATAGTATTTAGCCTATTGCTTCATTGGACCAACATACTCTGTAGACTCACATATGTGATATCATATATTCTACATGTGTCATCAGAACAGCATCAAGTATCCTACTTAGCTATATCAAAATATCTTGCTTACTATCCGCAGGATTTACTTTAAAATCAGGCAGAAATCAATAACTTCGGAAACTAGGAAAGATGCGAGAATATCATAAACTTCATTTAATTAAGTTATGTCACATACCAACCGATATACATAATTATATACACTATTAAGCGAAAGAGAGGTACGGAAGAAATTAAAATAATGTTTATGCATATGATAAGGCAAGGTTTGGACCGAAGAAAGCACTCACTCAATTACATTGATCGCTTATTCGATATAAGCAGCGTAAAGTCAACCGAAAGGACCGAGATCGTTTTATTCGGTATATAGTGAAGGTACTGGACTGATTACTTCATACCAAGCTCCTCATAGGAAAAAAAAATATGTTTATTTCAAAAAACTACATTTTTATGTATTTTAATACAAATTTTCCGAACAAAACTAGCAACTATTCCAGGAGAGGTTTGAAACAGATATACGGTTTTATTACTCCGCTGCAATCGGACTATTAATTAAATTACTGGTTAATTACCCAAAAGTTCTCCTCTACTTAATTTCTATTTTCTGAACTCCAACTTGACAAATCTAACCGAAACGTTCTTGCCTTTCTTAGTATCTGATCAAATTTGACCCGGACGAAAAAAAGGTCCTTATTTTAATCCACATCTTTATTATCGCCTTCAAGTTATGTTCTTTTTGAGCCAATACAAGCATGCCAACGAATATTCAAATTTTCCATGAATTTGTTAAACCACAGCTGAGATGGACTTTAGTTCCTATAACGAATGACTTTTTATTGGCTTCAATGGACTCGTGGCGCGTTCCTCGTCACAACGATATTTCTTACTTACCGCTAAGACCTTTGAAACGAATTCATGGTGAACCACACCACGGTAACAAAGAAAACGATGAGCATGACCTTGATTTTGACGTGTTGTTTTTTTGGTTTCGGTTTCATAAAAAAAAATTAAACTGCGCGAAACCAAGTTCGAGTCAATTTTATCAGATAGTATATAATCATTTGTCTATATCGATTAGTTACTGGTATTACAAATAACCTAGTGAATACTTTTTGGAACTAAATGACGCCTTTGGAACACGTTTTTGGTAATCCGGAGACATATGTGATCTGGAGCCAAACTAATAAAGTATCTGGACTTAAATCATTACTGCTAGACTTCTACACAGTCTACTGCTAGACTTCTACACAGACAGACAGTCTTAAAAAATCCATGATTTCATTGCATACTATTTTTAATAATAATCAGACTAAAGCGCCAACTAACGAAAGCAAATAATTCCTAATTTCTGTTTCTTACAAACTTTTTCCTCTAAAAATACATAATATTTCAGTCGCAACAATTGGGTTAGTAGAACTTGAAGAAATAAAGTGTTAAATGAATTTAATTAGAATGTGTTATATGCCATATAATTTGCTGTGTAGTATTATTGACTTTATTAAAAAATCACGAAATAAACGGTTACACATACAACTATATGTATAAACATGTACAATAATCATTCAAGAATAAATGTTTGACAAGATAAAAAAAAACAAACAAATACAAAATATGTGCGTCTGTGGGTGTGTCGCATTAATATTTGTATGTTAGTTTGCAGATACCTTCTTTGCATAGATCAACATTAATTGACACCTCTGGAAATATTCGAATAGCCTTTACACTTTTATTGGCGATATGTATACATACTAAGTACGAGTATATGCATGTACTTGTATGTATATATTATTTACACACAATGTCTAGTGTGGTGCGACTATTGCACTTTCTAACATTTACCGTTAGTTTTATTCTAAGCCACAAAAGTCTATATAGGCTTATAACAGTGGCGTGCGTTAAACGTCGTAAGTAGGGGTTTCGAAAATCTCTTTGTGTACGAGTGTACAGTTGTAAAATCAATTTCAAACCAGGATATCTAACAAAATAACGGATATTCGAAATTTCTTAAATAATAAAAAGATTGTATTGTATAAAATATTGAGTATTTCTTGCAGTTGTAGAACTTCTTAAAGAGCTAGCTGCCAAGCCAGCTGTCAAATATGTCAAATTGTCAAGTTGAGATTCACAGGTGCATTTCTTACGGCAACTACTTGTATATGTACAACTAAATCTGAAAACATAATCGTCCAATGATTTGCATACATTTTGCTAGTTCTTTTTCTATTTCATACAGGCAACCTGCAAGTCGAATTAAGGTTACTTAAAAAGGAAAAAGTATCTTTTATCAAGATGTCAAATAAAAAAGTTATCCATACAGTGACTTTAGTATGATCGATATCCTATAGTGGTCCGATATCGGCGGTTCCGACAAATGAGCAGCTTATTAGGGTGAAAATTTCATGTGTGAAATTTCAAAGCGATAGCACACGTCAAGTCCATAGTTTATGCATATAATCCAACAATGATGGACCACTGAAACAAAAGTATAGTATAGTTCTAAGATGAAAAAATATACACATATTGTAAGTGACTAGTTTTTTGCGCCTACATTTAACACTATCTTATATTCGCCAAGAGTAGCGAAGTGTTAGAGAGTAGCGAATCGATCATACCAATTGCTCAAACAGACTGGCAGCACTGCAAAACTGTTCACAGATGTGTAAAAAAAATTGATAGCATTTAAAAAATTCTCCTGTATCTAACTGAACTCGCTAACCTTGTTTCTGTTTCCATTTTTAAGATATTTGACAAAAGAGTAGCGCTCAAAGTTAGCGAGCAAAGCAATGGCGAATCAAAAACGCTTGAACACGAGTATATAAACGAACTAGTCCCTCAGTTTTTCAGATATCGTTCTGAAATTTTGGACACGTACTATCCTCTCAAATAAGCTGCTCATTTGTCGGCACCGCCTATATCGGATCACTATAGCATATAGCTGTCATATAAACTGGTTGTTAAAAATTCCGTTCTCGTATGGAAAACTTTTTTATTTGACAAATTATCTTTTCGAAATTTGGCATGTATTATTGTTAAAGGCAACGCTACAATCTCCGAACATATACTTCAAAACGAACCAATGAAAATTAAATTAAAATTGCTTATATCTTAAACATCCAAACAAATGCGTAGCACATACATCAAGTACCCCCTTTCCAACAAACTCCAGTGGTTGCATGTGCATTCACATTTACAAATATATACAGACATATAAGGAAAGATATTGACTTAAAAAAGTTGTGTCCATGTCATAATTAACACCACAAACTAAGGCGAACTCCAATATAAATTCACTGCAGAAATATTGTAATTTCAATGGCAAAATAGATCAGAATCACAGCAACAAATTTTAAATGTTTACCTTTGAAGAAGACAACGATGCTACATATGTATGTGTGTGTTAATGCATTTATGCGCTTAGATTAGCGCTGTTATCTATTTATTTTCACTTTGTGATAGTTATAAACATACATACAAACATACACTTCACACGTATGTTAATCAAACATACAGGTGTGTTAGAAATTTCACCTAGAACTCACTTCTTCGGTATAAAAATGGTAGTTAAGAGACTTTCTCCATTAGTCGTGCGCATACACCTCCTTTGGTTGTCTGAGTTTGGTGCTTAATAATTTGAATTGTGGAAATTTAGTTTCAAGTGTTTTATCCTTTAAGGATGTACGGTGCCAAGGAATTATGTGCAGTGCTGCTGCTTACAACTATTTTCAGTTTTGAATTTGGTGCTCCGATTCTTGTGCCAGCACTAACGATTAATTCGGCTGAATGGCAAAGTTATGTTGTGAGTGAAGAATAATAATTCAAAGTAATTTTAAAAAGCCTCAAAATAAAAGCAAGTGAAAGTATTTATGTACATAAATGTAAATATATGACACATTAATATGGATATGAGAAATTGAGTATATTGTGTTGCAGTACTGTATATACGAATGTTAAATAAAAACAAGAAAACACGTTAACTTCGTCTGCACTGTGAAGATAATTTGTCAAATAAAAAAGTTTTCCACAGCAAGATTTAATTGGGGCCGATCAGTTTGTTTGGGAGCTACATGCTTTAGTGGTTCAAAGTGGTCATCACTTTGTTGGGAGATTGTGTCTTCGCCTTAGACAATATTTCATATCGAAAATTTCGCGAATATATCTTGTCAAATAAAAAAGTTCCCCATACAAGAACCAGGACCGCCGTGAGAACAACCTGGCCCAGGGTAAAAAGAGGAGGCGAGGGTCCCCTACAAAGATGTTAATAATTTACAAATATTTTTAATTATATTCTCACTTACTACTTCAATGTTTTTGAAGAATAATTCAAATACCACGTAGTGTTTTATGCTCGCATCCGTATTAAATTTGCTTTCATGTTGATGTTGGATGGAACAAATTTGTTTTGTAACAGTTTGAAAATCAATAATGTATCTATCAGTTCAAAGTAGTATATACATAAACTTTCAGTCAAAAATATTTTTTCAGAATATACCGAAATATATGAATATAAGGATAGCAAGACTTGACATTGTAGCTAGTGCTGAAATCGTGCGCTATGACGAGCATGTTCGATGGAAATTTTTGATCTTGCAAAAGCACTAAACCAACGTTCACCACTTGAAACAGAAACGGGTAAAGTGTCAAAATATTCGCAAAGCAATACAAATATTTGGGAAAAGTCTTCCTAATTTTCGCGAGCATTGATGGCATTCAATAAGTTGTATGGAGTAGGACAGGTTTTAAAATTATTGTGAATAGTGAATTGAACAACATATCGGATACATCAACGCAAACTACGGGATTTAGTGGCAAGAACTGCAATTTTTTAACAGATTCGATTTTTCATTGATATTTCACTCAAATGTTGCTGAAGATTCTACGGATACGATGGCACCGCGACAGAAATTCAGTTTTTGATAAAAGTGTTCGGGAAATTTCAAGCTGCTTATACAGGTCTTATTTCACTGACCTTTCTGAGTCTCGAATATTTTCAGAAAGCTAGGATAAGACAGGGGGGAATTACCACCGACCCACACCCTCCCTCTCGTCTGGTCTGGCAAGAACTTGGTTTTGATCGATCGGTTTGTATGGCAGTTATATCCTATAGTGTTGCGATACCGACGGTTTTAACAAATAAGCAGCTTTTTTGAGAGAAAAGATCGATATCTCAAAATTAAGTGCTTAGTTCGCGTATATAAAGACCGACGAGTAATCAGACAAACGGGCATGGTTAAATTAACTCAGCTCAACACCATGATCAGTTATATATTCTATTATATATAATTTATAGTCCAGTGTAAAGACATTCTCAACACCTTACTTTACCAGAAGATGGAACACGCAGTTTTATAAATATTTTTATTCAAAGAAAACTAAAACTCAGTATTTTCATTTTTTCAATTTTCAAAGATAAACGAATTTTTGAATTGAAAAAATCCCGCTGAGGTGAATTTTTAAAGAAATTTTATGCTTTACAAGAATCATATACAAACAATTGTATCTGAAAACAGAGTTTTTTTTTGGTTTTTATATGGGGAACTTTGATTGCTTACCGACTACTTTTATAATTAAGCTTAAAATTTTTCGGGGCATTTTGAAACTTTTTGAAAAATTAAACTTTTTTCTAGCTATTGGACTAAAAAATTTGTTGATCGTGATATTGAATCATAAGTGAAGAAGGGATCTTGAACGCTTTTCGAAGTTAGCGTCCAAACTCGACATACATATGTATAAGCATTCGAAATGTGTTGTTAATTATCGTAGAAAATAAAAATATAGATATTTTTCACTTTCGTCACCGGTATTAATATAATTCGATCCTATTTTTGAAATATGTATTTGTATTGAGGGCAGTGCTGCTAATCCCCTTTATAATGTAGTCGCCGAAAAAATCTATCTATCTAGATGCTTTAAGCCACTCCAAATGAATAACTAATTTACATGAGACTTTTTTCATAACAGAAATAAAAATAAAATATACTTAGCAAGCAGAAATTAGATATGAAGTCAAGCCAAGTAAAGCCGTGAATTTGAAATAACAATTTTAAAATTTTCAATTTTTAATTACTCTAAAGCAATTACCCATACATACATACTTGTACATGTATATGTTTAACATCATTTTTTTTTTTTTGGTTTGATTCCAGAACACTTATGGAAAAACGTACACCACCTATCCAGAATCATACGCGGTATTCTATTACAACTACAACAACAAGTTGATAACGGCGCACAACTTGCAAGCGGATAGGAATCCAAATACTGTCACATACAGATTAGGTGTAAATCAATTTACCGACATGCGTTTGATACATTTCAGTGCATTATTCCCCAAAACTACACTACCAACAACGGCCCCATCAGCAACACAACCGCCTACAGTACAAGCTTCCTCACCGTCATTCGACTTTATAACAGATCTACAATTAAACATAACCGTTGAAGATCAAGGAACTGTTTGTAATAGCGGTTGGGCCTATGCTACAGCCAAAGCCATTGAAGTGTATGCTGCAAGTTTAGCTGTGTCTACAGAACGGTTTTCTGCGCAAAATTTAATCGATTGCGCCGGTTCTGGCATCGGTTGTACGAGACAAGTTGCGCAAACAGCTTTCGAATATCTTGTCGGTTTTCAACAACCATTGTATACGGTAACAGATTATCCAGATAATAACCGGCTAACAACTCAAGGCATGTGTGTACCACCCACAACAGCGACAGGTACACCCATCAATTTGGCTTCGTATTCGCGAATTGATAATCCCGATGATGATACTATTATGCAATATGTGTCAGCTCAATTTCCCGTAGTCATCGAATATGATCCGACTTCTTTTGATTTTATGCAGTATAGATCGGGCATATTCCAACAGCCACGCACCAAAGGTGGTTCCCACTATATGACAGTTGTGGGCTACGGTACGGATACAACTACAAATCTAAATTACTGGTTGGTACTGAACTCATTTGGCACTACTTGGGGTGAAAACGGCTATATTCGTATAATACGTCAGTCGACTAGGCCATTAACTAAGGTAGCTCTCTTCCCAACTGCATTCGGACCATAAGAGAGACGAGCTAAGGCAACTTTTTAGATTAATATTTAAGCAATATTATTTATAATACTAAATAAAATAACTGTAATAATAAAAACTTTTGAACTATTTGTTTTTTGATTTGTCCGATAATTAATTTTGATGCCAAATTCATAATGTTACTCACATAGAAACCCTCACTCCTATTGGTAGAAAACTGAGACACTCGATTTTCTAAGCTTCTTCTGAGCGTAATTTTTCAATAAACCAGCAAAATTATTCACCATAGCATAGACAAGAACAGCGAGTAATCACTTGGTGCCGGGTGCGAATTATAAGTTGGATGCACAAGGATTTCCCGATTAAGGTTCCGGCATTACCGGCGAGTCACTATCGATGTGTGTGGCCTGACATGGTCCTGATGTATCGCTATACATACTTCTTCAATTGGCTAAAACTAATCGCTACTGAGCGACGGCTTCCTTCAGACAGTCCAATTTTTGACAATACAGGCACGTATTAAAAGTTTTTTCGTAGTATAGCAATTCATAGTGGATAATTCTCTGCCAATCGCACCAAACAAATAGCAAGCCCGTTGACAATAAATCTTGAGTTCTACTATTTTTGGTTTTTTTTATTTAATTTATTTATTGATTTCTTCTACAAGCGGAGCTTTACAGACTTATTTACTAGAAAATAACAATTTCTTCAGAATTCATTAACAAAATATTGATAAACTTATCAACAACATGATTTTCTCCTTTATTCTTTATTGAGTTAATTTCAACTACTGTTTTCCACATGACAATAATAGTTGCTTCAAAAGTTCTTTTCGATTTTGCATTATTAATAATTTCATGGAGATAAACAATAATGCCTTCGTCACATGTTCATGTTTCTATTATATTAGCAACATAAATAATACTGGTTGAAATGAAGACAAACACATATTAAATATATTGAGTTAACAGGTGTACAGTAAGCTTGCTGTTAATTCGAGGGAAAGTCGTTGTATTCATATACAAATATTAGTGGAAATTATAAATGTATGCAAGTGTAATTTGTTGCAAAAACTAAAGGACACCAAAAACAGTTTTAAATACTTTTATATAAGTGGTTAAAAACACATACGATCATTTAGAATTTATGCATATTATTATTATTATTATTATTTTATTTCAACAGTTTGGTTTTGGCAGCCTCTGTTGCTTGCTTTTTTATTAGACACAGCCGCTGTTATGCTGCTCGCTGCTACATGCTCAATTTTACTCCATTTCGATCAACATTACCAGGTTTCATAAGTACAAAATTTGTAAAAAAAAAAAACATGGCACAGATAATTAAATTCAATTCTTCGCGAGAAGCATAAGCTTATTGCACACAAAGTAAATTTGTAGAACACAAATTTTAATTTTAATTGAAGATATTTGTATAAACTTTTAAACTACATTTGCCAGCTAAATTTTAAATAAATTTGCACAGTTTTTAAGCGGTTAAACCAGTTTACAGTGCTTAACAATGCCAAACTTTGAGAATTAATTCTGGCAGTAAAGAAATTTCATTGCGCTTTATTTTCGACTGTCAAAACTTCAGCTCGAGAACTACAACAAATATAATGCCATAACTCAGCATAATGCCATAATATTTAAAAAATTAAAATTTGCACGCTTTGTTGTCAATAAAAACCAGTGCATTTGATATACACGCTTCGACAACAGCAACATTGGCGCAGCGAAAATTTCAAATAGAAATAAAATAAAAACATATTACTTCTCAATAAACCAACACGTACGATTAACATGCACCACGAAAGAATAAAGCGCACGACGAGCAGTGCACGACAGTTATGTAAATGCTTAACGGATTGCTGTTTACCTTTTGCATGCTTTAAACAGCGAATACATTGCAATACAATATACATTAACAGCTTATCAACTGCCAACGGATGGCAGCTATGTTTTATTAACATTCTCTGCTGCTGCTTTGTGGAGTAATATAGAGAATGTTAATGTTATTCATTAATCTTATGCCTTAATATGCTCTGCTGCAACTTTGTGGCGTAGCTCAATGTTGCTGTAAACATGTTATTAACATTGTATATATACAGTATGTAAAATTTCGCTGCTTTGTTCGCGTTGTTACAGCTGGCTTTGTTAATGCAAGACCGTTGCGCTGTTTCTTGTAAAAGTTTACTGTTGTTTATATATTTTATTTTATTATTTTAGTTTATAATTTTAAATTTTATATAATATTATTAATGCATATACTTTCTGTTGCTATGTGGGTGCTGTATTTTTTGTATGGCATAATACATTATACATATGTATGATTGCCTAGTAATGCCTAGTAATGGGTGTCAACTTAAAGAACGTGTATACATTGTTTTTGTAATATTTAGATCATCATTATGCTGTTGGCATTGCGCTCAACAGCTGTGTCAATTTTTTTTGCAATAGTTTTTAATTCAGTATAATTCGCTTGCATTTACTAACGCAATCAACTCACTTTCGTTAATAAATCAATTTATAATATTTTATCTAAATGTAGTGAAGAATTATATATTTGTTTTTATCGTACTTTTCAATAGTTGCTGCTTACGCTTTTCTAAACATTTTGTTTTGCATACTTGCTTTATTATTTTTTTAGCATCACTGCTGAGTTTTACTTGCCTGCTGCACTCGTCTACATAATTAGTTAATGATTTGTTTTACTATTTCATATTGAAATAATTATACTTTAGGCTTAATAACTTTTTGCTTTTTGCTTTTATTTTCATTACTTATTTATATAATTATTTTACTTGTTTGCTTAGTTTTCGTTTGTTTATTGTAATTTTTGGTTTTTCTGTTTTTGTCGGCTAGTGTTTGTTGTTTCTTGAAGAATTTTTCTTTTTTTGTTATTATCATTTCGTTTAATGATTTAAATTTATTTTTAATTTTTAAAATTAGTTAATATATCTACATAAATTTCAAGTTTATTAAATATATTAATCTTTTCGTATTGTGTTTTTCTCAATTTCAATGTGTTTATTATTTGTTGTTGCTTTTCATTTTGTGTGTGTGTGTGTGCTTACTTTAATTTCAATTTCCTCTTTGGTTTATTAAGTATTTTTAGTAAATAACTAATTATTAAATTAAAAATATTTTTTTATTTTTTCATTTTAATTTTTTGTTTCTGTTACTTTTTTTCTTGCTTTGTGTATAGCCACAAATGTGTATGTATGTATATACATAATTAGCTTGCACGCATATATGTATGTATAAAGTGATAAACACATGTACTTAGCGTAATTGAATTCAACACATTTTCTATAGTGGTCATAAATCGGGTGTAACATTGTTGTTGGTTTGCAGAATTCATTCACCTTCAACCTTCGTCGATTTCAAAGTTTGCGCAACATTGCTCGCCTTTTCATTAAATTTTTTTTTGTATTTATTTATCATATTATTTAAGTATAATTTATTAATTATTTGTTAATAATAGATTTGTTGCTGCTTTATGAATGACTGACATTGTTCTAACTGTTTTTTTTTTTTCTTTTTAATACAGTAGGGTGTGTTTAATATGCGCGTGAATGGTGTTGTTATGTGTAAAGGCGTGTTGAGTAGCTTAAATTTTTGGTAAAAATACTTCCGTTGATAAGTGTTTTCGACATAAGCGCTATACTATGTGTTAATATTTTCATTATAATAATTAACTAGTAATTTAAATGATTTTTAATACGCTACACGCATTTTTTATAGTTACAAAGTTAAGTTAAAACTATCGTTTATTATAACGAGAACAGCATACCACTTGTGGTAACAAACGAGTAACTGTATTGAAATGAAAAAACTGAACAAAATATATTAAAATATATCATAGGCCCATTAATATGCGGAAGTCCCAACTGCCGCAGACAAGTAGGCTGGGTAATTCATATTATTTTTGTATACAAAACAGCGCTTGAATTTTCGATTTCTTTTCTTTTCGTGATCGAGACCGAATTTTAGTTAGTAAAATTTAAATAAATCTGTATCTCGTCGGAAATTTACGTAACAATTAGTTAGGCTAAGAGGTTATAGCTACTTTTTATTTTCATAAAAATAATTTTTTTTGCATATATTTGCAAATATTCTTCGAAAATGTGAAGTTAGCAAATAGTTACGGAGCTATGAAAAATTCACAAACAAACGTGTGTTTTTCACTAGCAAGTGGCTATAACCCCTTAAGTGTAACAACAGCTGCAGCATAATGCCGCATTTCGTATAACAAGTGAAAGTCTTGTTCTTTCCTTCGAGTAATAGAAATATAACAGCATTTAACGACTGCTGAAAACGAAATTTATTAAAAATTATTCAATCGAGACTTCCTATAATAGCCATTTACAGTTACTTTCTATTAAGTATCGTGCGCTAATTTCACTAAGTAGTAGATATGATCATTGTAGTACCGTTATATTGCTTATGGAATTGAGTATATTATAATAATTGAAAATTTTGTTTGAGTGGTAGTAGATTAATATCTAGACTATATAATTGGTAAATGATTATATCACACAACTGTTGACTGAAATCACTGAATATCTTAAAGTAGTTTAGAAATGTATGAAATATTTACACTTCTTACAAAATAGCATCAATCGACGGAATATTAACATACGCAATAACACAGTCAGTTTTGTGGAAAAAGCAAAGTTTTCAAGAAAATAAACTTTAATATAAATATATGTGTACCATAAACTAATTTACAATAAAAATACTGCAAGGAAATGATGATATGTAATTTTTTTTAAATTTTTTTAAATAATTTTTTTTTAATAACATTTTTTTAATTTTAAAATTAAAAGTATACATAATAGACTATAACATAAATCATGTACAATACTATAATATATAATAAAATATCACCAATGTGAGTATGCATAAGTATGTATGTATGTGTTATGCAGACTTGCAAATTTTGAATTAAAAATTACATTTTCAATTTAAAATTTCGATTTTGGTTTTTTTAATTTAAAAATTTGTAAATTTAAATGTTTTAGGTGTTTAATACAAAATCGAAATTAATATTCTTTAACTTCTCTGTTAGAACAGCACTGACTCATTAACATTCTCTGCTGCAACTTTGTGGCGCAAACATGTTATTAACATTGCATATTCTCTGTATGCAAAATTTCGCTGCTTCTTGTAACAATTTACTGTCGTTTATATATTATATTTTTTTAGTTTATAATTTGAGATTTTCCATCCCAAAAAATTTAAAAATTAGAATTGAAAATTAAAAATTTTATTTTTATTCCAATAATCAGAATTAAAAATTGATAAATATAAACCATTTGAATGTGTAGGTTTGCCGAACACTGCTCTGGAGTATTGAAGATGTTACAATTGCGATTCCAAATTCCAAAAAAAAAAAATTATTTTTAATTAAAATTTGTGTTTAACATTTTATAATTATTATTTTTTAATGCATTATTTGCAACTCTGGAGTTATATAATTCTGTTAATAAAATTTAATTTAAATTTATTGTTAAAAATATTTGGTTTAAATTTTGTTTTGGGCAACAACCAGACACTGTAACGCAACATATGTTTTTTATGTGATTTTCATACATATCGAATTTAACCTCAGTTAAATGCACAAATAATTAAAATTGTACTTTGCTTTAATTTAATATATGTTTTTAAGAAACATTTTAAATTTTTGAAAAAAAAAATAAATATGTTTTGAATTTTTATTTATTATTATTTTTTAATTATGCTTTGTAATTATTTTCTTTTTGTTTTGTTCTTTACTGTATAGTGTTATTAAGTGTGTTCGTGTTGTTGTTTTTCGATGAGTGTCATTACAAAGACTAATATTATGCGCAGCTTTATCTTCACACTCCTTCGTCTATATTTTTTTATTAAGCTTTTTCGCATTATATACATACATATACATATGTATTATTAAGTTTTTTTTTATGGAATTTATTAAAGGTTCGTGATTACTTTTCTTATCCAGTGTGGCGCATGTGTACTAAATTATATATATTTTTAATGGCTTAATGACTGTTACATTTTATTGTTAATATTTTAATTTTTTTTGTGGACAAAATTTGCGGTTTCATGCATATAATATATATATTGAGTATGTGTATGTTCGTATTTTGCGTGTTTATATGTAAATTTATGTAGTCATGATATTAAATTTTTGTTTAGTTTTATATAATTTGATAGGCGATTTTATTTCACTTGCTTCACATATGTAAGTATGTATGCTTGTATGCGTGTATATGTTCTTTTGCAATATTGCGCGCATTTTTATGTATTTAAATTAATTGCATTTTCATAATTTGTTGTTGTATGCGTTGTATTTGCGTTGAATACTAGTATTTTATGATTTACAATGTATTTAGTTGCTTTAAAACAATAAGTTCTTATTTGCTTTTAAGTATTGTAATTTATTTATTACATTTGCTAAATTTACAAATTGTTTACGCTGTGTTTTGCTTATATCTCATCCTTACCCTTAAGGACCGCCTTTTGAATGCGACATACATACAGCTGTATGTATAGGCGCCTACTTTGTGTGTTTTTGTCAAAATATAACAGCATTTAACTGTTACATATGCAAATAATGGAAGTTGTAGCTAAAAACTAAGTTATTATTTTTGCAATAATGCAGCAGAGCCAACTTCGAAAGCAACTTTTTTTTTTGTTGCTAAAACAAATGTTAGTTTATGTAGCATCTGAGAGCGAGACTAGTGTTGCGTTAAGTGTTACCTATGAACATTTAAAATGCATTTTTTATTATGTTTCATTTTGTATGTAGTTATTTTTAGCATTTCTTTTTTGCTTGCAACTGTTAAAGTAATATTTCAAAGGTAAGACTATACAACAGTGGTTGGCAGCTTAGTGTTTCCAACGTGGTGGCGTTGTATAGAAAATACTGTATTTTATAACACACACTATTTATAAAGTAGTTAAGAAATTTGCATACACTTTTTCAACACTTTACAACCAGCAGGCGTTAAGGGGTCATAACCACTTGTGAATTAAAAAATAATACATTTTCTTTTGCATATATAACGAATGTACGCATTTCTGACAATATGCTTCGCAAACTAAAATTTGATTTCGCAAATAGTTTCGAAGATATGAGCGTATTTCTACGAATTACGGTGAGAAAAAATTTTTCGAAACGACTAAAGGGAGCGATCGATTAGAAATTTTCACACCACGTACTTATATATATTTATCAGCACTAAGATTTATCGAAAATTTTTTAGGCGTAGTCGTTATTATGTCAAAAATGAAATTTGTGATTACTGCCTATTTTAATAACAATTGTTTTTGCTTTTTGAATTTGAGTTAATTTTAAGCAGCATAAGCTACCTCATCGCCAGACACCTTTTTTCGGTGGCACTCGTAGTGATCTGCTACGATAGCAAGGGTTACACAAAATTTTGCCAAATGAGTCACCAATTATTAAAGTACATTAAATTTTGTGAACTTGCATTATTTTTATTTATTTTTTAAATTAAATCACTCTTGAAACAAAATTCACGAAAAAACGCTTTTTTCTGACTTGCAAGTGGATACAACCCTTTAAGCACAAATACTGGCTTGCTGCAGTAACATTGCAAACACAATTTTATGTGAAGAATTAAAAAAAAAATTGATACTTTTTCTAATTTAATTATTTTTTTTTTACAAAACAACTACTACATAACACTTTCATACGTAGATATGTATGGCGTATGTCGTAAGTGTCAGCATGTGTTGGTTACATTTAGAACTATAGTATACATACATACATATATACACTGTGAAACTATTATTAAAAATTTCGAATATTTCTTCGCAAGACATGTGACGGCAGTTGTTTTTGTTTTCCTTGTATTTGATTTTTTTTTTTTTATTTCTATTTATTTTTTTTGTTTTGTTATCTTCCTAATAACTTAAATGTCATATTGAATAAGTAAGTTAATTATGTATATACATATATATGTATGCGTATTGTTTAATAACAGCCACATACATACGCAGCAGCGCTGGCCCGCACATTTGCGCAAGTGGTATGCCTTAATTGTAACATAACCTAAAAAATAAAATAAAAATAAAAATTATTAGCATAAAATAGCATTAAGTGGTTATATCCACTGAATTTTGTATGTGAATAATTTTTTCTGCAAATATATTGAGGCTACAATAGGGTGGGTCAAAAAAATCTAATATTTTTTTTGCTTGATACTCTGAAAAATAGGTGCTTAGGCACCTTTAAGAAAAACACCCCTACAAAAAAGATCTGTTGTGATGTTTGCGTAAACTTAACCGTTTTAAAGCTAATAACGGTTGAGGTTTGATTATTTTAAGCCAATTTGTTTTTTCTTATCAATTTTATAACTCAATGGAAATACGTCATTATAAATCTATAGATCGGAAAACTCATAGTTTTGTAGGAAATTTGCTACTCTACAAAAATTTTCTTCAAAATTTTTTCGATAAACGTTGAGCGTTTACGAGATGTTCATCGTCAAACAGCAATGCATATCATATATTATATATGTTTTTTTAACTATAAGAGATTATTTTTGTTTTTTTGTGTTTTGGGATATGAGTTAATTCAAGCAGCAAACTGCTCCTCACCGCCAGACAACTTCTTTCGAAGCTCCTCCCTAATATCGGCTATGCTATAAAGAGAAGACATAATTTTACAAAATGCATCGCCAATTATTAACGTACATATGTACATTAAATTATATAAATAATATTAAATAAAATGCCTCTTCAAAAAAAATTCACAAACAAACGTTATTTTCCAGACTTGCATGTGGATATAAGCTCTTAATTGTAAATAATTGTTTTTGTTATCTTACCTGTTTTTAACAACAATTCTTTTTGACTTTGTCACTTGCATGGTCTCCGAACGAAAATATATTTATTAGCATACTTTTAGGGGCAACATATACGGTAATGATGCTTGCTTTCGCTTTTAGTTGAACAAATCGCTGTTTGTCGTAATAATTGCTATTAATTTAGTTTATTTCTTTATTTTAGCTGGTATGTGGTTATGTAATTTCAAATGTGCTGATTTCATTTTACTGCTTATGCAACACATGCTTTTAGAGCTGGGCTGCGTTGTTCTCCTTTAAACTCCTTTAACACCCCACAGCTTTTATTGCATTTTCTTTGTAACCGTAATTGTTGGTTTTGTTTTCGTTTTCGCTTTCCTTTTCTTACTTTATTCCTAATTAACTGCTGTTTTACTTGCGTTTTCTTTGCTCTATTTCGCTTTAGTTATGCAATGCATGTGTGTATGGGTGTGTGTGTGTGTGTGTTGGGGTGTGTGTATATGACTCTGTGATGACTTTCCAAACTCAAAGTGATAAAATGAAAACAACGCGACTTCATTTCCTCAATACACATATACACATCTAACATATGTCTGCATGTATGCTTGTATGTATATGCTTATTAATTTCTACTATATATGCGTGTAGGCTTTTGTATATCTCGTATTTATGAATTTTGCACAGCACCAAAAGCATTGATATTGAAATGACTCGAAAATGTGGCAAACCAAACAAAGAACGCTGCTAATGTATAGGGCAATGCCGATAGTATGGGATGATTGTTGCTCTGATACAATGTGGAGGCAGCATGATTGCACAGCTCAGATGTGCACGCACAATAAATTGCCTGCACGTCATGTGTGCCGGAGCGTTTCATGCACAGCCCATCATCGCTCTTATCGGGTATATAACCGCAGCCGCGCACCACGCGCACCTTGCCATAAACTGAAATGATATAAGAGTGTAAGTTATCGAATTACCTAATTAACTAGCTTTCACTTGACTGTGCACTCACCCTTTTGTGTTGTCTTACGGCAGAGCAATGGTTTGGTGTATTTATCCTTAAGATGTTCCTTAACCTCCTGCTGAGTGCAATTCACCTTACCCAAAGTATAGGGTTCGAATGGATCACCGCAATTGGGATCGTAGGCGCTATTACAATCGTAACACATCAGCGCAGTGGTTGCTGCAATAAGAAAATAGCGTTGCAGGTTATTGTAAGAAAGTGTTATGTATGTTTTTAAAATAAAAGTCTTAAATATTGACTTTTTTCTGGGTATTGGGCCAAACCAATTTTTTACGAGATATTGCTTTCTTAATAAAAAACAATTTTTAAATTTTTCGAAGTTACAGTCGAAATTCGAAATATTTTCCTTCAAATTTCGAAATCTGTCGTATTAATTATATTCTAAAAAAGTAGAATTTGGGCACTATCCACATTTTCTTCTCATTTCAATAGAGCATAACATTTTATGGGCAAGCTTATAATTGGAGCACGATCTCTTTCATTTACAATATGCCGGAAGTAACCATAAAGAAAGTTTTGAATATCCTTAGTTGTTCTCTAAGAAATAAAGCAAGCGTTTATACCTTTGGTTCAATCAACAAAGCCGACTGCATTCTTTGTCAGACAGTTTTGCGATTGCTTGACTCTGTATTGTTTGAGGACGCTTCAAAGATGGACATCAGTAAAAAGAAAATACGCTATACTTTACAGTTGTTTTGATAAAGGTGAACACGATTTCATATCAAGGATACACCACGCTTTGGAAAGCCAAATATAGAAAATATCGAAATAAAATAATGAAAATCCTCGAGTCCGACCGTCTTGTAAGCACTGTTTGGATAGCCCAGCAGCTAAATAGCTAAACAAAAATAGATTTGAAACTATTTTCATAAGGCTGGATACAAAAAAAGCTTGATGTATTGGTGCCAGACGAATTAACGCAAAAAACCTCATGAACCGCATTTTTATCTGTGAATCGCTGCTGATTCCCAATAAAATCGATTAATTTCTGAAGCAGATGGTTACTGGTGAGGAAAAGGGGGTCACTTACGACAATGTCATGCGAAAACGGTCTTGATCGAAACGCGGTAAGACGGCGCAAATGATAGCCAAGTCGAGATCAACGGTCAGGACGGCTTTGCTATGTGTTTAGTGGAATTGACAGGGAATCATATATATATATACAAGTATTTGCTGCTTCCCTACTGCCAAACTGTTAATAAACAGTCTGTAGGAAGCAATTGCCCAAAAGCGACCAGATTTGGCCAATAGAAAAAGAATTGTTTTCCCTTAAAACAACGCATCGGAAAAAAATGAAGCTTGTGAGAATTAACTATCGCAGTTTTTTAAGGTAAGTAAGGGTGAGGATTTTACAAGAGTTGAATTATGAAATTATCTTCAAAATGACAACAACTTATCGAACGAAACGGTGCATATTTTGAGGTAAATCGTATTATTCTAATTATGCAAAAATAATGATTTAATTTTTACAAGATTTTATATCGACTTATAAGCAAACATATAAGTATATTCGTTATATGTACCAATTCTAAATATATGTACATACTTGTATATCGGCAAAAAGAAAAGAAACTATTCTCGTGAAGGCACAATAAATTAAATGACACAATTTAGCGCGACACAGATGTATCGAACGAGGCATTAAAAGTTTTGTTTACCTATTGTTTATTTGTAATACTAATTATTTAACTAATCGGAGATGAATTCAGTTTCAGATGTCTCTATACCCTTCCAACTGTTAGTGTAAGCGATAACTCGAATAAAAATTGAGTTAGCTTGATATAACCGTGTTCCTTGGCGCATTGCGGAGGTTGTTATTGCAGATTGATGAAATCGGACCATTGCCGGTAATCGATAAATATAAAATGCTATATCTAAGTCGCAAATTAAACTAAAAACTGAAATTTGTATAAAGAATTGCAATGAGGAGTGGCATTTATATCCCACCTTAAGCATTAACAAAGCTATCGGAATAAAACTTTTAAATAGTGCCCTTAAAGTGTATATAAGTGCTAAAAATATTCGAAGGCGTACCATACATTTTCACGCCACCAAATACTGAAATATCAATTAGTCTGTAAAATATATTCCAAAAACTCAAGCAAATTTTATAATAAATATTCTTAAGCTATAAAATTAAGTAAAATTGCAAATTCATATGTCAGACTTACCCTGTAAACAGCAAAGGATGCCCAAGAGCAGCAGTGTTCGTTCCATTAGTGGTGACATTTTTCTTGTTTTTTTTTTTTTGTTTTGTTTTGTGTTTTTGATATTATACAATTATCGATTTATTCACAACAACAACGAGATTTACAAAAAATTGTTGATGAGGAATAAAAACAAATCTATTGTTGTTGTTCGCTGCGGTTTTACTTACGAATGTAGTTCGCTAAAAGAACTTTTAGTTCAATTTCAATTTATTTGTTAAATATTTGAAACTTTCGGTTAGTTTTCTTTAAACTTATTTCCGTATTGCTTTTTACTATGTAATTTTGCTTGCTGATTGCTATTATTTGTTTTGGTTGTTGTTGTTTATTTTTTCTTTTTACTGTTCGCTTAATACACGCAGTATACGGGTGTGAAGCAAAACTTTGTCACTGTCGAAATAAAATCACAAATCGGGGCACGTCTCATACACAGGTACAATAATTGGACTCGGCCACGCAGGCTGCTCTGCTGCTTAACTGGCTTTTCTGCGGCAACTGACACACCAACTCACTGTCACACAGACTTTACACACGGTCTTGCTGGCTCACTGACTGACTGACTAACTGGCTGATTGATTATTTGACGTTCTGTTATGCCGACATCTCGCACTGAACTGCAATAATGATACGAAAGAAATGCAACAAAATAATCGGTTAAGTCATTTGGATGAAATGCAAAGAACACAAAATGCACGAAATGCAATAAAACTAGAGAAAATGTGTATTTCAAAGAAACATTGGCAAATGGCAAGAATTCAAACGCCAGCAGCAGACAACGGCTTTTGGGGCGCATTTGCGTAGGCGAAAACGCCGATGTACGCGGATGATGGCGGCTGCGAAGGGGCGAAGCATTGCGCATAAGCATATATGTACATATGTATATTTATATATGTATGTATTAGGGTGGATGAAAAATAAATCGAGTATTTTTTTCGCTTGGTACTCTGAGTACTTAAAAGAAAAAATATATATATATTAGGGTGGTGCGAAAAAAATTTTTTTTTTGCTAGCCTGAGGGTAAAATCTGTAGATTATAAAAAAAGACATTTTTTGGACAAAATAAATTTTTTTTTTAACATCTAGATGCGGCCCACTCAGTTTTAAAGTAAATTTTCGAGTTTTTTTTCCGCTCCATCGATATGCATTGATGCTTGGCGATAAATATCTCTTACACGCTTAAAAACGCGAAAAATTATGTGAGACCATTTTTTTAGAGCAACAAATTTTCTAAAAAACTATGGGTTTTCCATTTCATAATGATTTTTTTTTTATTGAGTTATAAAATTCATAAGAAAAAATTTAATTTGCCTTAATACGTGCGTAAGGTTTATAAAAACATCGTTAGAGACCATTTTGTAGAGCATTCAATTCTCTCCAAAATCTAGGAAACAAAATATTTTTTCACGTAGTTGGAAGCGATATTTAAATTTTTCTATCTGATAATAAAAAAATATATAAAAGTGCAAGCAGCGAATCTTCCTTTTACAATTAAGAACTTTTCTTACAGAGGTCTAAGAACCTATTTTTCAGCGTACCAAGCAAAAACAATATATTCGATTTTTTTTCACCCACCCTAATATGTATATGTATCTGTATCTGCATATAGCAGTTGTACATAAGGAAAAATTATGTACACATTATGACATCCATAGTTCGTTTTGAAGTTTTTCGCTTTGCTGTTGTTGGTTTTCTTGTTATTCTTGTTGCTGTCACAACATATTTAGCTTAACAACTGCCTGCTTGCGTCCGACCGAAATTTTGTGGCACAAAGTAATTGGCCTAATCCACTTTATTGGGTGTTGCGGTTGTGGTCGCATCCAACTGCCAAGATTTACACGCTTGCACATGTTCAGCGTTGCCATTTTCCCTTGTTCACAATTTATTTGCTTTTTCCATTATTTGTTGTTTTTTTAATTTTCATTTTGTACGTGATTTATATTGAACGTGTGGTGCTGTTGTTATTTTTAGTTGATTGCACTTTCCGCCGACAAAAAGTTTGCACACAAGCTTATTTATGTATATACATATATGTAGTCGTATGTATATGTGTATGTGTATGTATATATGTACTATATACTAATGCATGCTTGTTCTTACTTTTTCAGATATGGGACACATTGCAATTTTCTTTTCATTATGTTTTTCGCAAATTTTAAACTGACACACATACAAAAATACATATATACATATGTACATACATATACCTATACATATACAAACTTACATACGTAAATGCAATCAATTTTGACACAGAACTCATACTTGAAAATGCACTCTCATTACGCTCTCTTCTCCCAAACACTATCAGCACTTGCAGGCGACTTCTCGTCCACTCTTTGCCGAGCTGTGCATGCAAGAATGAACGCAAACGAATGACAATAATGACGTTGCTGATGTGTTGATGTGCTGTTGATAGCGCTCACGTTGCGCAGGAACATTTTCCTGCAACTGCTTTGCTTGCATTTTACATAATCGTCGGCTGTCACAGCGGCAAAGACAATGTACATACACACACGCACACACAATGCACTACATAAGTACCAATAAGTTTATGTAAGTAGTGGCGAGTGGTCGCGTGTTCAGCGGTAAGGGCTTTCGTATAGGAAATGGATTTGGCATTATTTGATGACTTAGTGGGCGTTTCAGATGGTCACGTTGCAGCAAAGTATATACCGTAAAGCCTTGTATAGAAATTTAGATTTATAAAACATTTGGATGACGAGAAAAAAGCCAAACTTTTCTATTATCTGTTCCGCTCTCTTGCCAAAAAATTTTTATGTGTAGCCAACAGACATTTACCTAGTTGAATTTAATACTAAATACTCGCAATATAGTCCGGATGCGCCAAGTAAAGTGTAATAAGAATGAGTTCAAACGAGTAAACTTTTGTTGCTCAATAACGGTAATTTCACTTTGGGTGTTGACCAACGCATTCACATAGTCTTTTTCATAATATATTCTCGAATTCGGGTAAGTTTCGGTTAAAAGTTAGGTAAAACAAATAAAAAACTCTACTAATAAAAAACCCTACACCGGTGCAATTGTTTTAGCATAGAAAGCTATAAAAATATCTTCATTATTTATTTGGTACGGTCAGTTTGTATGACAGCTATATGCTATAGTGGTTCGATCTGAACAATATGTTCGGATATTGTAGCTTTGCCTTGGACAATAATCCAATGACAAATTTCGTGAAGAAAACTTGACAAAAAAGGCGTTCTTTCTATTTTCCTACAAGAACTTTATTCGGTAAATTTGTATGGTTTCGACGAATTCTTCGCATGTGTGCAACATTTCAGATCAAACCCCAAAAACTGAGGGACTAGTTCGCATATATACAGACAGACCGATGGACATGGCTAAATCGACTCAGCTCGTCACGCTGATCATTTATGTATGTACCATATATAATTTATAGCATCTCTGACGTTTCCTTCTGATGTTACAAACTTCGTGGTACACTTTATATACTCTGCTCAGAGCATAGAAACATCTTACAAAGGAATATTCAATTTAGTAGCAGCGAATGGAGGAAAACAAGAAAGTTAAAAGTCTGCCGGAGCCCAAGCAACTCGAAATTGCCATATTACAAGTTGCCCTGTCTGAACGCAGTTCGCATTTTCTGTTATATTCCTGCTTTATACCAGGAATATAACTGGTTTTTTTATATTTGGAATATAACTGGTTTCGTTATATTGAATTTGTAGTATTCTGTCAAGTGTCATTATACTGAGGTTTTACTGTCAAAATACTATATTGGTATATGAGCATATGTAGGCATGTAACAAGTTATCCGCTTACACAATATTATATAGAAGTACAATGTTGTAGAACAGGCAATGTTGATAAGAACGTACAAATTAATGTGGACTGTGAGGAGAAAACATATCAAAATAGTTGATTGTTTAAATGATAACTTGTATAATATGTACATTGATTGAAGGTACTACTGTCGTGGAATTATGCATACCAGATTTTAACGAATATTACGACTTATATATTGAAACAGAGTCGACATAGTACTGTAATACAAACTCCAAAGAATTTTACGAAAAAGCCTCTCAGAACTCTCAGGTGTCTTACTTTTGTTAGTTATATTGCTGAAAATCCCTACACCACATTACTAATCTGCCTACTATGTTGAGCTATGCTCACTTTGCGAATAATAGTAAGAACAAGTTATCCAGCTAAATCTATTACTAAAACGGTAATATACAACTTTTGGTCAAGCAAAGTAAGTAATTATAATGAGTAAATTCATACAACTCGCTCTTTTCTTAAGCAGCGTGAGATTGTCCCAAAAGACGGCATGATCTAGCCGGCAGAAACACTATTTTATTATTTTTCAGAACTTGCGAAATCTAATGTTTTGAGCTTTCATAAAGATATAAGAGCGATATAAAAGCGAGTAATATTTTAGCTTCTGTAAAAGATGCTAAAATACTCAACTCCACCTAATATTTTTTCATTCACTTTTGAAATTTCAGATTTGAAATTTGGATTGCAAAGTAGAGCTGTTTATATGGATATCTATGTATGTAAGTTTTTTCAGCGACTTAAATAAATTTCAACGTAAAGTTGCTGGATTTTAATTTGTTGGATCTTATTGTGTGCAGTACATGGCTCTACTCTATCTCATCGAATTATCAGTATACTTATACATATACTTGTATATTAAGTATACTTATATTTACACTATACTTATGTATTAAGTTTGCCACGAAGTCTCTACCATCTAGAAGAAAATTTCGGTGATTTTATTAAGTATATATACAAGTACATAAACCAGTTTTTGAGATATCAGTCTGAAATTGTGCACACGTACTTTTCTACACAAGAAACTGCTCATTTAACGAAATCGTCAAAATCAGACCACAATAACATATAGCTGCCTTACAAACTGACTGATCAAAATCAAGATAAAGATGTTTTATACCACTTTATGCTATAAGAAATGTAACTGTGAAGACTACTTGTATTATAGCTTCGGTGCAGTCGAAGTTAAAACTTTTTCTTGTTTTTGTGAAATTTGGCTAATTTTGGAATACTCTATCATGCACGCGGACTACTTTCCATGCATGTAGAGAGCTTTTTGGCAGGGCAGAGAGAGCTGCCAGAGATTTGGGCGTCAATTTAAATCATTACAATTATACCACATGAATAACATTAACCGGAGAAAACAATAAAAGTTATATCAAAGGTCTCGAGCAATTGAAAAATTTTCTTTCAATAAGTATAGTGTGCAAAAAGTGGCAACTCACATAAATTTCGAGGTGCTAAGTTGGCTTCGGTAGCGTGAATAAATATATTTATTGAAAAAATAAATAAAATATTTATATATATGATTAAAGATTAATGCTGCTTGCTTTTAATAGAAAAATATGTTTAATTCATGGAATTTTGGAGTTCGTCACAAAAATACCTACTAAATATGTATACGTAAGTATGTTAAATGTAATGCTGTATAAATTTTTTCATTTGCTTGCAACTCTTAAAATATCGAAAAAAAGTATATAAATAAAAATGTGCATGTACGCGAATAACGGTCTTGTGAACCCTCAGTTAAAGGCAAATTGGCTATGCATTTTGCATAAGAAACAAGTTGCTATGCTTGTAGCGGTTATGTAAGAGGATACAAGCACTTTATCAAGAATTTAATAACGATACGTTCAAGCATATTTTGTTACAAATTGCCATTATATTTCTATTTGCCATGGAAAACTCGCTAGCGCTTGTATAATATGATGAAGAAAAAAATGTAAGTATGACAGTCCGCTATTATGCTATTATGTAAGGTGGTACGAGTAGAAGCGGCTTCGGCTTGGTTAATTACACACAATGAAAATAATTCTATTTATAAATATGAATCAAGTAGTGAAATCAAATATCAAAAGCTACTTAAGCAGGTGCTACAATTACTTATGTATATACATAAAGGAATATACATATATATGCACTTACGCGCACATGCACACAAATGTATATAATTTACCGTTATAAGCAATAATATGTAACATGAGCGCGCTCTAACAAATATTATGGCGTTCAGCTTGTGAATCATTCAATTAACAGCATATATTTATATGTATATGTATGTTTATGTAAATGTATATGAATACATAGACGCACATGCAACCAAATTGTCGAGTTGAGTTTAGCCGTTCTAAGCCATTTTAAGGTATATTTGACATGTCAATGATTGTGCTACTGTCGTTCTTTAGGGCTGGAGAATTGATTTTAGTGGCTGTTATTAGTGGGTTGCCTAGTGAATGCATGAGCGCACACACACCTTAATACACACACATACATACATACACATAACGAAAATAATAATACAACAACAGCGCTAGCTACAACAAAGTGGCTAAAGCACAAAAATGAAAATGTAGAATAATGACAGCAAGCAAAAAAAATTACAGCGAGATCAATAGCCACATATACAAGCATACATATATTGACAACGCCAATAATGGTGATAGCAGGGCAAGAAGTTTTCGCTTTTGAAATTTTAGTAACAAATGAAAAGTGACTCTGCTGACGGAGTGACAACGGAGCATGTTGCACAAATTTGTGAATTTATTTTGTATTGCTGTGTAGTTAACGCACACACACACACACACAGATAAATATATACATTTTTCTTTTTTGGAAATTTATTTGCTTGCGCTCATTTTCTTGCATGGAAACCTTTGAGTTGCAGTCGCTTCCGCTTTGCTTTTAAGCGCTGCCAACGCCATTTCACACATTTTGCACATTTTTCCTTTTCCTTTCTGCCTGCTTTTATTTCTACCTACGGCAAACACTTCAACCAATCGTTACTGTCTCTTTTTGTCGCTTAAAACGCTTTTGTTGCTTTTTTTATAACGGTCTTATTGTTATGCATTGCGTTGGTCATATATGCAACGTTGGTTGTTGTTATTATTTTTGTTGCTTGCGCATTGCAATTCGTTTGAAAATTCAATAACTGACCTAGTTATGTTAAGCCTCAAATACGATAGATTGTGTAGCGCCGAAAACTGCAAAACCGACAAACGACTCTCATACTGGACGCTGACTAACGGTTTCGCATTCACACAAGCGATCGTAGGCTAACACACAATCAGGCAGCAGACGAAAACGAAGCGACAGATGAATATACGAAACCCACTTCAACACTATCACCCATACATATTTCGTTTGCAAACACCCGCTTTATGCTTTAATTGCTATTTGAACTGCGAAATATTAAAATAAAATTATTTAAAAAGTCAACTTAACATTTTTTTCCAACTTTTGTTTTCAAGTGTAACGCTAATCCCGTTACTTGCTGCAGCTGCGCTTGCAAATACACAGCACGAATCTTATGTAACTGCGTCCAATTAGTGTGGCATGGTGCTTAGCGGCTGTGCGTATGTGTGTTTATGCACTGCGAAGCAGGTGTGCGTATGTGTGTGCGTATATGTGGGTTGGTATGGGGGCCCGCCAACCATAGAGATATCGATTGAATCGCTGGCTTATGACAACGAAAATGTCAAACAGAAAAGCCAAATTTGCGCAAGTTTTTCTTAAATTTTGCCAAAAATTGCTGCAAAATTATAGAAACGACAGAAACGCTGCAAACCGTGCGAAACATTGCACTTTTGAACACTATTTGCTAATTTTTTTCTTTGCCATTTATAAAGTTTTTTCCGTTATGCTTCGGTTCTATTTTCGAATTACGTATGCGCTGCTGTCATACATTTATATACATATCTATATATCTATACATGCATATATGTATGTATATTTTCATATAAATATCTTCGCAATTTCAAATACATTTTTTCTTCGCACAGATTGCACAATTTTTCCATGCCCTCGTTGTAATTATGACAGCCTGCAACATCGCTATATACATATGTATATGCATTTGAAAACCGTAATTGCTTGCCGCACCACCGCCATCATCTGCCTGCCATTCTTCATTTGCCGTAAAACTCTGAAAATTGTGCAAAATTTTGTAATCGATTTTCTTTGCTGCGTTGCAAGTTTTTCAACTTTTAACCAGTACTTTTCAGTGCTGTGCAACCTTTACAACGTTTACTGCTATTTGCCTAGCACACACACACAGTTTTTTTTTTGTTTTTCTAAATATTTTTTATTATTTTTCTTTTTCAATAATTTTATATAGATATTTACGTAAGAGACAATCTCCTATTTAGCTCGCACCCGGACAACGATGTGAAAACGTTTATTCGATATGACAATAGCACGGCTAAATCATCCAGCAAGGACGTTACGTGATTGGATACGAAAACACTGGCGGGCATACAGAAAGCGTACAAGCCAGCAAACTGCAGGCCGTTAGGCCAAGCAGCGGCAGTAGCAATCGATATTTTTACGCAGTGTTGCATTCGTATGGCATGTGTCATTGTAAATATTCGACAGTTATTTGCAATCTTCCGGGTCTACATGGCGTATGCCGCACAATGCATGCTAAATAACGCCTGTATGTATGCTATAATTTGGAGCAATTTCATGAAGTAAGTAATTTTGGTTTGTAATAGTAATACATGTAAATATAATCTATGTGCGAATATCGTAAACAATATATAATTGATTCGTGTTTTAATTTTATGCTGAGGTATACGCTAAAGTCGAAAAAAATCGATTTCTTTGCATGTATATCGCATGTGCATATATTTGAAAATATTCTTCGAAAATTTGAAGTTTGTCCAGCAAATAGTTTCGGACATATGCGCGTATTTTTAACTTAGTGTAATCGACTCCCAAAACTTTAAACGCGTTTTTTCGAATAGCTGCTTGCAGAGTTGGTGAGTAAAATATCTCTGAAACAGCTGTATCGTTCGACTTGAAATTTTCACACGCTCTTCTTGCATGTCAAGTATTGATCGAAGGCATACGATGTTTGATAACAATTTCGATTTTTAAGCCACTCTGAGGTGCAATATTTTCACAAAACTATATATTTTTTTTTTAGGTTGCCGATATTTTGTCAAAAATTAACATTATGACTACTTCTTCGGACATTAACTGTGTTCATCTATAGTAATAATATTTTTTTTTTTTGGTTTTTGGTTTCAAGAAATTCTTCAAAATTAATCACAGTTTATCAAATTACACTAAATTGTGTAAATTTGCATTATTTTTATTTATGTAATTAAAAAGTTCAAAGCCTCTTCAAGAAAAATTCACGAAATAACTAATTTTTTGTGATTTGCAAGTTGTAATAACCCCTTAAAAGGTTACATGGGTTTCACGGCTTCAAAAAATCAAATTTTTCTTTATTGTCTTATTTAATTCTATAACATCTCTAGAAAATTGTGAAAACGCTCAAGTTGCTCCAAGTAATAGTTTTGCAGATACAGCCTTGAAAAGTTGCGCGCTCGAGACTTAAAACTTTAAACGCGTTTTTCTCGAAACTGTGTTTTCAAAGTCGGTTGCCAAGGTTTCTCGCGAACTACTCAATACGGTTCTTAATGAAATTTTACACATACCTACATACTATAAGATATAACTTACAAGGTCTTGAAGGAATAATTGTTTTTCAAAGACAAAACATCGAGAAATTTTCACTGAAATTTGCATTCTTTTGTAAAAACGTCTGTCAAAAATACAATTTTCACTTCTTTGTTTTTTCCTTCGCCTAATACCTAGTTCATGGTCTTAATTAAAACACGTATTTTTTTCTTTTCTTTTCTTCCGAGGGACTGCCGGATGTGACGTCGTAAATGATGCAGAAAATTTCACAAAATCTTTGTAAAATATGTGTCTTTGGAATAATAAAAAGTTTGAATAAAATATTTAATTTTTTATATGAAAAAAAAATTTCTTGAGAAAACCCATGTAACCCCTTAAGGTACTTACTACTTGTCCTAAACTCAGGCATCTTCTAAATCTTTGAACACAAGTAAAGGCTGCTTCTAAGGAAACTTTTATTCTTCTTTGTCATTTTCAATAATTTTAACCTATTGTCTTTAACTTAATATTTCAGACCTTTAATTTGTCAGTTATGAAGCCTGAGAAAACGTTCGGCCTTGTACCTAAACTTTGAATTTGAAGGCTAGTAATGGATTTGGAAACTCACTATATTATATTATTACATAAATCAAAACCAAATAAAACGAAAAAAACACCGTTAAAAGCTAAACATGAGATATGTAATCGCCATTTATTCCTCCACAATAAATATTGCATAAACCCCTTCCTAAATTATGCAAAATAATCCGACATAATAAAAGAAAAACATTTTTTGTTATTGTTCTAAAACGGAAAAAGAATAATTTCCAACTTTTTTGATATGCAATGAAAAAGTCGAATATTTTATTTCTATAATTGTTGATTGACCTAAAATGGTCACCTATGTGCGTAGCATAGAATAGAAGTATTGAGTGTCAATCAAATACAACATGAAAGCGTGGTGAATTAAAAGTTTGAACACTTTCAAGCGCACACATCTCTGTGCTTGTGCAACAACAGATGACCGACAAACAACAAAACAAAGAATGAATTGCAAAAAAATCATTTAGCGTAGCGCAACAACAAATCAACGAAACTGTAAACAAAATGGATGTAGAAAACAGAAAAACGAACTGTGGACGAATATAATCAACTGCAAACGGAATCAAGAAAATTATTTGCGATTCGCAAGCGAAACAGACTAGTTGCTTTTTATACATTATTTTGTAATTTATAAAAAGTGTTCAATATTGTAGTGGAAAGAATTATTTAAAGTAAATATTTTAATATTGCAAAGTTTCGTAGACGGCGAGCGTAAGGCCGAAAACAATTGCCATAAATACCAGTAGTACTGTGCTCTCAACAATTGACCAACTGGGTAAAGAGAATTAACAAACGTAAAAGGGTAAATATATGAATATATACTTTTCGTCATATATATCTACATACATATAGTTAATTATTTTTGTAAATATATCTCAGAAAGGTAATGTGAAGCTATTAGTTGGTGCTGGTAAAAATTGCGTCATGTGACGAATAGTACAGTATTTAAATATATTAATATTGCCTACGCTAGTATGCTTTGAATTCATCAAATCTTGGCTCATCTAGTTGTAGTTATGTACATATTATAATATACGCGCTTTGGCCGCTGTTGTATGCTTTGAGCGGCGAATAAAAACTCGTTTACAGATAAATATTTTCACAGAAATTTAATGCCGCGATAACTGAAAAAGTAGATAACTGATAATTATAAACAAATAACGGAATTCAACCTTATGTTTTCAAGCGAATTAGGAGACTATGAATACGCTTCAAAACACGACTAAAAGAACAGGATCATGTTAATTTGTATTGTCAACATTGCTATAACGCTTTCAATAAACAATATTCAATTTTATTTGAATTTCACAATGTTTCAATTTTCTAAAAAAATAAAGTAGTCCAATAAAATCGCCTGTACATAGTTATTGCTGTGCCAAAAATAAGGTCAAGTAACCGCGCATTATTTGTTTTAATCACCGCCTTGATAATGTCCACGTTTCAAATTCTCTTTCCTTATCTGAGAATTTTTTTTAGATCGCATAGAAATCGAGTATATTGCCCTGGTGATGCATAAGTTTATATGTAATTTAACCCACAAGTATGTTTATGTATAAACATATATAATGTTGTGCTTTAATAAACAAAGAAAAATAACGAATAAGTAAGAGCAAAATAAATAAAGAATAGAGTGGCTCCATATTTAATGACTAACTGGTTTAGGGTATAAACATTGTACGTAACTTTTTTGATTTTCTTCATAAATACAGCAGCGTAAAAATTATTGATTATTGTTAATTCGCTTTTTTTTCATATTTGATACTTTTATATGCATTTGTAGATATTTGAGTGCATATATGTAAATAAAAGAGTATCTGCTCTTATTCTCTCATTTAAATATTTGCTCTCTTCCACCTTTTCATATTGTACCTGTGCCATTGACGTGACAAAATTAGCTGATAATCAGCTGTTGTGGTAGCACAAAAAATATACTTGTTTACACTTTAAAGATATGCGCAGAATACAAATCCATATGTATATACTCGTATATCAATTTATTTAGTGGCATTGACTTTGTTAAATTTTGCTATGGTTTTCTTTACAAAACACAAGTTATTTAATTCAAATAGTAACAATAAAAAAGCAAATTTAATTTTTCAAGTTGTTTAAAATATATTTTAATTATTACTGTATGCCAAGAGTTCATGACTTAAAATGAAAGTTTTTGTTTAATGTTTGTTGCACAAATTTAATTCAAAAGCAAGTTTTGCTTAGTATTTAACATCGTTTGCTTTTTATAGTAATTATATTACAATTTAAACATGCAAGTTTCTGTTTTTACTAATTATACGGTGGTGTACCTACAAAATAATATTCCGAGAATTTGTTGACATCATAGTTAAATTAAATACTATATACATATGTATATTTGTACATATTAGCATGCTGTGTGATCCAAAGATCAATTTATTGCTTATTATAGAAAAAAGAGTTGAAAACATATTTACAATATAAAATTATACACAGCACCCCAAGAAGCTGCTCATTTGTCGGAAACGCCGATAGCGGACCACTATAGCATATACATAACTGTCACACAAACTGACCGATACAACTCAACTCCTTGTATGGAAAGCTTTTTTATTGGATAAGATATCTGCCCGAAATTTCGCATAGTCCAAGTTGTCCTTTTAAAATTTTATATAAGAAAATCGCCTGTGAAGGGTAATATGCTGCCGAACAAACTGTTTTTTTTTATTTATTTTTAATGCAATTTCATTAAACAATGTCAATGCAGTGAAATAAAATATATATGAAATACACTAATTAACATTTATATAACTTATTAATACAATATTTGATTTGCAGATTTAACACAAGATGCGCGCAGTATTCATTTTTGTGGCGTTGTTCGCCTATGCTAGTGCGGTTTCGTTCAGCGATCTTGTGAAAGAAGAATGGTTTGCATATAAAGTAAGTTTTTGATACAAAAGCATTTTATTAACAACTAAATTTACTACTGATAAGCGATTTTTTCAACATTCAAGTACTTTCTAGAGTAATTACATATATATTTTGTTTATATTCTTTGTATTTTACTGTATTTTGTTTATTGAAAGTTTCAAACTTTTATATGAAAGCATTTATTTTAATTAATTGAAAAGCGTTTGTTGTTATTGCCTTTATATAATTTAATGGCACTCATTTCCATTACCAAGACTACGTGTTTATTACTTTTCACAGAAAGTTCTTTCATTTCAACATTTTATCAATATTGTAACTTTAATTTCCTTTATGTTTAAAAACTTTCAACACTTTTTTACAACTTTCTTTTGTTATTCATAAAATGCAATGCCATCTGGTCATTATTGCTGACCACCACGTAATGGTAATAATTATTTCAAACTCAGAACAGCGTAACAATGAAAACAGCAATTGCGTGGAATGACTCAATTTTGAATATTGCATATATGTTGCTACTATTAATCACCATAATTGCACATTTTTATAGCATGTATTGTCACAAGAGTGTCGAAATTATTTGCAATATTTATGTGGCTGATCCATTATTGATGAAATGCAAAAATGTTGATATTACAAATATTGTATTTTTTTATCGTATATGGATGAATAACAGCATGTAATAGTAGGAAATATAGTTGGTGAACTCGTATCATTTTTCTTTCAAGGAAATGTTGCATTGTTATACAGAGATATAGAGCACTCAAAGATGTATATGTCAACTTTTGATTTATGCATATATGTGTGCATAAATATATGTATGTACATATATTCAAATATTAAAAAAAAGTAAACCATGCTATGAGCTTTAAGAGATAATACAAGTTTTTATAAGCACGCCTACGATTTCGTTCTATCTCACATTATATACTTAATGTAGACATGTGCCTATCTACATGTACATGTATATACCTATATATGTATATATATATATATAATTTAAATGCTTTTTCTTCAATCGTTGCTTTGTACACAACGTACTCTTATTAAATCAAACTGCAATAAACTTCTTGCTGCGTAATTTCCATGCAACAACACGCGCCAAAAGCATCACATGCTCGCCCAGACTATTATGACAGCGCACCGTCAATCGCAAATGCATTCATCCAAGCAACAGATAATATTTTTTATTTTATTTTAAAAGAAACTGCAGCTTATCAATAAAAAATGACTGGGTTAAGTTTTAAATGCATAAGTTCGATTTTGTACAACTAAATGCTTTTGATTATACAAAAGTTGCATATTGAAATTGGAATTTACTATATTATATGTAAACAATTGCAATTTAAATTTTTCTAAATTAAAAAATTGAATGCATACATATGTATATGCATGTTGCTAATCAAATATTGACACTAACACTGTTGTGTAGTATAATAGCAACTGAAATTTTAGTTTACAAATAAAACCGTTATGCATTATGTACATGCATATGCTAATAGCATTTAGACAAATCACAAAATTAGTACTTTACTTGTGGTTACTAAGGCCTCTATATGGGTACAGTAGTCATTGTAGCGGCAGAAAACATCTCTCAAATAATTTGGAGGAATGTTGCGGAGTTGACAGTCCTTGGCTGGTTAAAAATCCGTGTCCACATAAAAAATATCCTTTAAAATATTTTGTTTATGCCTGGCGATCTACCAGTAGCGTATTCTCTACATATGCTCTACACTGAGTAATTCAAAAAGGTAATCCACACAATTTATGAGTAAAGTACTAAAAGTATAATCTGAATTAATAGCAAATTTTATTATTAAGTAGCTGTTCAGTTACGTGACGCTATGTGTTCTTAATATTTTGCAGATTTCAATGAAGAACGACGGATGTGTAAAGCCGTATAGAGAAGATTATATCAATATTTGTTGACAAAAATAATCGCCTATAATTTTACTTGCTTGTTTTAGTTCATTTAAGCGATTCATACTGGAAGCTAGCGGTATATTCACGCTAGCATCAATCTGGATTACTGGAAGGTCAACATAGCGACGCAATCAGCAGCTTACTTATGTATATGTAGCTATGAACGCTTGCTAACGGCCTTTATTTTCAACGCCTAAAAGTGCTTATGCCTTCATTATGAAACTGTAATAGAGTTGTGTTGAAAATGTGGTGAGTTACACAAGCGAATATAGTGGAATGTAAAATAATTTTAAATATTTATTATTTATATACATACACATGTACATATACATATAATTATATATTATATACATACATATATAATATTTATATACATAAGTAGCAGCCAAATAGTTTATTTCCAACAAAAGCCTTGTTGTTTTGGTTGTAGTAGCGGCAACATTCCTAAAGTAATTAATTTCAGAATGGTGCCGAGTTGAAATCCTTCGCCAGTAAATCCGGGTCCGTTCGTTACGACCCGACTGTCTAGAGGTCCAACAAAAGTTAGTTCTAATGCGTTATTATTATTCTCGTCTCGAACGATTTTATAAATTTATGCAAACTTTTCTGTCGCTACTACTACAACAACGCCTCAAGCCTGCCGAACGCAATGTTATTCTATAATGGATTGTATTTTGCTAAGAAAGCAGCGATAGATTTGAAGTGGAACTTTCTTATCAATTATACAAACGTTACATATATATATATTGTATATTTTTAATTATATTTATTTTAAATGTATTTTATATCACAGTTTTCGTTTTAGTTAGACGTCTCCTCTTTGTGCATTTAAGGCTGATAAGAAAACATAATGCAGACACATGCAGACGCTTACAGAATATGTTTACATATGCATATACAACGTCTCAATACTTTACTAGTTAAAGAAAAGAAATATAAGTTAGCTTCTAAATTCGAATCTCTAGCTGACCCATTTGAGAAGTATTGGCTATGAACGCAATTGCAGGCTAAGCAAACAAAGAAAAATAAGCAAGATAAGGTGCGATTTGGATTGATAAGCTATTGCAAGCTGATCGTCAATTTATGACAAACATATACGCACAGTACTGAATATGCAAAAATAATAGAAACAAACGCTCAGAAGGAGCAAAGCCTCATTAATTTAGAACACATTGTACCAGTAATTTTAGCGTGGTTTATTCACTTGTGAACGTCAAAAATATTTATACATAACCATACATCGTATTATTCGTAATTTTGAAATTTTAAAATTTATTTATGCACAAATTGTGTAATCATTTGAAATATCGTTAAACTTTTCAATTCAAATTGATACCTTAACTGAATTTTCCGACTTTAGATATATATAGTATGATAGTTGTTGCAAAATTCGATTTTAACATAGTGTAAATTTTCAAAATATTGTTTATGCATTTGTCAAATAATACATTCAATCTATTATAATAGATTAATCTTGCAATATGTTTTTTTTTCATTAAAATAATTTTATACAGAAAATCTTCCCACCAGAGAGTTTTGGAGGTCCTTCTAAGATCGCTACGGGATAAAGAATCAAATATATTTTAAATGAAGATCAACGATTATTAAATACATTAAATTCACAAATTTATTATTTTTAATTAATAACTACAAAATGCCTTTCAAAAAAATTTAACAATATGTAATTATAAAAAGTTTTCTGGTTTTGCAAGTGCATATTCCCTAAACGTGCTAAGTTTA